CAGGAAGACCCGCGCGCTCTGGTTGCCCAGCAGCCGCAGCTCCGGGCCGCTGTCGGGGGCCGCGCTGTTGTTGGACACTTGCAGCTTGCTCCAGCCCGCCCAGTTCTTCGTCAAGAAGAGATCGTCCGAGAAGTCGGAGGTGTTGGTCACGGTGAGCGTGTTGGAGGCGAAGAGCTGCGGCGCGGAGACCGTGCCCGAGCTCGTCACGTCGCCGCACACCACGCTGCCCGTCGACACTCCGCCGCTCGTGGCCGTGAAGGTGCAGTCCAGGCTCTCGCAGTCCAGCGGGCCCGTGGAGGCCGCCCCGCTGACTGTCAGCGTGGCGCCCGTGAGCGAGCGAAGCTCGCCGCGGTTGCTGCGCCCGATGCCGTCAGTGTGCCCGTGGACGCGTCGCCCACCGTGGTGAAGTTCCCGGCGTTGGCCGATGGTGAGTGTGCTGCCCGTGATTCCTGTGGCGGAGCTCAGCAGGCCCACGCTGGCCGCGCCGGTGATGCTCAGCGAGCTGCCTGACACGGCGCCTGTGGACGTCAGCGTGGCTCCGGCGACGGTGCCGGTGGCTGTGAGCGCTGCGCAGGAGACTGCGCCCGAGGCGTCCACGCCCGTCGTGAACACGTCCGTGCAGTTCACGTCGTTGCACAGCAGCTGGTCGCAGCCCACGTTGCCCTGCGCAGTGAGGCCGTCCAGCGTGGCCGAGCCCATGAGGGCCAGCGAGTCGGCCAGCAGGTCCGTCACGGAGACCGACTCTCCCTCGAAGGCGGTGGCCCTGATCCGCATGCTGTACAGGTCCAGCGTGCCCGCCGACTGCTGCATCAGCCCGGGGATCGAGCCGCCGAAGGCTCCGAAGTGCAGCTTGGCGACTCCGCCCGGCAAGTCCAGGCGCGCCGTGCTCCAGACGCCCTGCGAGGCCGTGCCGAGGAAGGTGCCGGTGACGCCCGCGTAGTCGTTGTCGGCCGCGCTGACGTACATCACCAAGTTGGAGGCCGTGCCCAGCCGGTACCGGCAGCCGAAGGAGTAGCGTCTCCCCGGCGTCAGGGTGTAGGTGCGCACAATGTTCCAGGCGAAGGCGCTCAGGGTCATGGCGTAGCCGTCCAGCTGGAAGCCTCCCACAGTGAAGCTGGCCGAGGTCACGGAGCTCTGGCTGTTGGAGCGCACCAGGAAGTTGCCTAATGTGGTGAGCGTGGGTTCCAGCAGCACCTCGCCCAGGGTGGCCAGCGTGACGTCGTCGAACTCGTGCTTCAGCAGCAGGGCCGAGGCCGCCGTGTCCTCCTCCTCCACCGTGTTGCCGAGGCCGTAGACGTCCGCCGTTCCTGCCGTCTGGTTGGGCAGGCCCGGCGCCTGGAAGTGCGCCCCGAAGTGCAGCTTCGCAACTCCGTTTGGCGGCACGGTGAAGTACATCTTGGCCGTGCTCCAGGCGCCCTGGTCTCCCGCGAAGCTGCCGTACAATGGGTCGTAGACGTTGTCTGCCTCGGACATGTGCACCACGAAGTTGGAGGCCGTGCCGAGCCGGTAGCGGCAGGCGAAGAGGAGCTCTCGGCCCGGGGTCAAGTTGTAGGTGCGCACGATGTTCCACGGGTTCGCCGCCAGGGTCAGGGTGTAGCCGTCCACACTCACTCCCGCGGTGTGCGTGGCCACGCTGCAGCCGCTGCTGGGGCGAACCGTCCAGTTTGACAGTGAGACGTCCGTGGGGGCCAGGATCTGCTCTCCTATGGCGGCCACCGCCTCGTCGGCCCCTCCGTCGTCCGCGCACGGCTATTTGCAGGGCCGAGGCCGAGCTTGCCGGCAAGGAGGCCGTCCACCTGTGCGATGGTGTAGTAGCTGAGCAGGGCGGCGGCGATGCTTGAGGCCGTCCTGGTCTGCGGCCGAACGGTACGCCACCAGCGCCGAGGTGATTTGGTTGGTTGTGAACACGTCCTGGTCCGGGCCCGTCCGGTAGGCCAGCAGCGCGCCCGCGATGGCGGCCTGCGTCTGCGTGTCCTGCGCGCTTGCCGTGCGGTAATCTCCCAACAGCGCGTCTACCTGCGCCGAGGTGGTAGTAGGCCAGCAGTGCGCCTGTGATGGCGCTGGTCGTCTCCGCGTCCTGCGCTGCCCCTGTGCGGTAGTCTCCCAACAGCGCGTCCACTTGCGCCGAGGTGTAGTAGGCCAGCAGCGCAGCCGCGAGGGCCGCGTCCGCCGCTGCGACGGAGTAGCAGTCGGCCGTGATGCTCAGCGTGTCGTCGCCGTTGGCCAGCGCAGCAGAGAGAGGAGCCTCCAGATGCAGGTTGCGAACGACGTTGCTTCCGCGAATGAGCTCCCGGAGCGTGGTCTCGCTGGCTGAGAGCGCGGCGTTCGTGGCGTACGAGGCCAGCAGCGCCGCGTCGGCCTTGCCCCCCTGGAGCGCCGTGATGCTGGCGTCCCGGCTAGCAAGCTGCGCTGCGACGAAGGCCTCGGTGGCGAGAGCAGGGCGGCCAGCGCGCTGGCGTCCGCCTTGGCGGCGTCCAGAGCTGCCGTGGTGACTGCGTTTAGGAGGGCTGCCGCTATCTTAGAGTCCTCAGAGAGCAGGGCGTACGCGGTCAGCGCGCTGGCGTCCGCCTTGGAGGCCTGCAGCCCCGAGATGGAGGCGTTGTCCGCTAAGCTGACCAAGCTGGACGCCTTGATCAAAGCACTGCTGGGGAACCGACGGGTACCCCGCAAAACACTCGAGCAGTGCATAGGCCTGCTCATTTGGGCCAGCATTGCCCTACATCTGAGATCCTGGCTAGCGCCACTGTACTCGGACCTCAACAGCCCACCAGGCTCGATGCACTCGATACCTCCTTGTCAAGCCTGGACAGCGGTACATCGCATGCTTCGAGACGCTGGCACAGTTAGCACTACTGCAAGCAACCCACAGCCACATTGGTGGTGGGCACTACTCGTTCAGCATGCCTTCAGGCACGGACAATTCCGCAACAGAAGCAAGCCTTAACAAGTTGTTCACGACCTCCTGGCCGTTGCAACTCTTCGTGCAATTAACAGCCTTCTGGGCTCACGCTCACAATGTGCTGCTGCAGCCGACGCACGTTCCAGGAAGGTGCAATGATTGGGCAGACGATCTCAGCAGAGGTGGGTTGGCCCGATTCCGCCATCGCCCTGAAAGTCGCATACGCTTCAGCCCTGCGGGCCTAGCCATGTCAGGCCGAGGCATTCAGCTGTGTCCGATGCATGCGCCCTGGCGCCCGGAGCATTTGGCAGCTGCCTCCGTCACTGCTTAGCCAGCCTTATTTGCATCCCGACATGCCTTGCGACCAAATGGCCGTCGTCGCCCTGTCAGCCAGAGCAACTGGCGGCGTCAGCCAGCCGCTTATATCAAGCCGCTCTGACCGGAAAAAGTGCAGACCCTGAGTAACAGGCTGCTCACAGCCCAGCGTGCATGGCCACGCAAACATTTGCCCTGCCAGGTACAACCCCACTCTGAAGGGCGGGTGATGAGGCCTGCGGCCCAGCGGGCTCGCTTATACCGGGGTTGCCTGAAACACTGAAGGGGGGGTCAACGCGCCTCCTGTTCCAGGCGCACCAGTGCCCTGGAAGCAGTGCTACTTTCAGCAATCCCGGTAAAAAGAACTGCGGCCGCTTCGGACTTGCTTTGTTCTTTTGGGGGTTCATGTTTGGGTTCAAGCTAGGAGCAGTGCAACATGCCTTAACGCTTAGGGTTTCTTTTCCCTTGTGTTTAGGGCATGTTGTGAATCGAACTACGCGTTGGCCGTTTTGCTCCTAGCCTTGACCCAAACCTGCGGTTTCATTTGAAACCCACCCACCCACCCTGCACTGCCTTATACAAGGCTCTGCAAGTATAGGTAGCAGACGCTCTGCACTTTCATTGGTGGTCTCCGGGCCTCTTGGTCTCCGGACCAGGTCTCCGGACCAACTCTGGTCTCCGGGCCTCGGGTCTCCGGACCTTTCGGTCTCCGGACCTTGGGGCGTGGGCACGCATGCCGCGCCCCGCAAGCACTGCATTTATATGCAAGGGCACGCATTGTCTTGCCTTTTCAAATTTCAGGGGGGTCAACGCGCCTCCTGTTCCAGGCGCACCAGTGCCCTGGAAGCAGTGCTACTTTCAGCAATCCCGGTAAAAAGAACTGCGGCCGCTTCGGACTTGCTTTGTTCTTTTGGGGGTTCATGTTTGGGTTCAAGCTAGGAGCAGTGCAACATGCCTTAACATGCAATTCCTCTGCTGCTGGAGGCTGCGCAACCAGCACGAGCTGGACGAGCTGAGCGCCCTGCTGCCGAACCGTAAGTCCGCTAGGTCCCTGGGTGCCCCGGGGCCTCGCTGTTCTCTCGAGTTACGGGCGCGTTCGCTTACGTCTGACATCCACGATAAAAAGTTTTAAAAAGGGCAAGACCTCCACCAGGCCGCATTGCTTGCCCATGATCCAGACCAGGCCTCGACGCGGGCCTGGCACGCAGCTCGCCAGCCTCGGGCCTTTGGATCTTGCTGCGTCGGTGTCTCAGCGGACGTTCCGCGCGGACCCGCGCGTCCAGTTTGCACTTCAGGAAGGTCGCTCCCCGTCGGGACTCCTTGAGGCAGCTCTGCCACCTGTCCTTCACATCGCCGTAGTCGCCCCAAATGCGGCTCGACCGCGAAGACAGCTCGTTAACGCACCTTTTTTTCGAATTCCTCCCAGGCCGCCCAGGCCTCGGAATCCCTTTCCATCGCAAGGCAGGCGTTCTGCCTGGGTCCGTGGTCCTCGAAGCTGCTGGGCTCCCGACGTGAGTCCACGCGGACTGCCAGACGATGGCGCCCTTGGGGCTCGTCTGCACCTCGCCCAGGGCGACGCTAGTGGCGATGGTAGTCATCTTGACTTTTGCTTGCCGGTCCTTTTCCTAGAGGGCGGACAACAAAATGGTCCGACCAAAGGGACGGCCCTGGCTCAAGCGGCTCGAGGGCCGCCATTTCCGGAAAAAAACCCGTTTTGTCTGTTTTCCGTAAATTCAGTTTTGCATGGTTTTTAAGCGTGATTTTGCATGACAGGTTGCCGGTGTTGCGTTTTTCTCACGATTTTCACGTTGTCGGTCGTGTTTGGAAAGAGCTTCCCCAAACACGTGAGCCTTGTGAAGGCGAGATTCGGGGACACTCTGGGGTACGGGGCGGCAGGGAACCGCTCGCGGGTGCAAAGGCGTGGTTTCAGACTCACAGTTTTTCTTGACCTCACGTGCCCTGTGCCCAGACTTCGACGTGCAGATCTTCTCGCAGCGCCGCGAGTTGCCTTTTTGTTACTTTTTGTTGGCCGCTTGCAGGTGGATCCAATTCGTGCTACTGGGGACTCTTTGGCTGGGCACCTGTGCGGATTGGTGTCAACTCGTTGAGCAGTGTTTCAGGTTTGGTCCTGGATTTTGAAGGTCGTGTTTTCGCGCTCCCCCGTGCCAGGCTTTGTTTTGACATCGAGGCATACTGCCCGGGCCTTCGCTGCTTCCGTTGTCATGGCCATCAATGCCAACTGATCTTTGAGGTTTGGGTCCCAACTCGCCAATCTGTCAGGCCCCCTGATCTTTGGCCTAGCGAGGCCCGGACACCCCCCCCCGTCCCGTGCCAGGATTTGCGCGACTCGCGTTGCTTTTTTGTGTGCTTTTCCCAACCCCGTCAAGCCGCGCCGTCAGGCCCGTGTATGTTTGGAAATCGTGACCTCGTTGAGCCAGGCCCGCATTTTGTATTGTCTCTCCAACCTTGTGAACCCTTGACCTTGAGAGCGATTGCCCCAACCCCGTCAAGTCGTACTGTCAGGTTTCTTTTGTAAGTCAGGCAGCGTGGTTTCCTCAAAATCGTTTTTTTTTTCCTGGCGCTTAGGCACTTTGAACTTTTGAGCTTGCGCCTCGAGCTCCACGTTCCGCCCGGGCCCTCGCCGCGTTCCATTGTCATGGCCAAGAGGTCCCGTGCAGGTTATTGTCATTTGATCTTTATCTTTGACCCAGTGAAGCCCTGACGGTCCGTCCCGAGGGTCCCTGCGATCCCTAGGGTCCCTGGGGTCCCTGGGGTCCCTGGGGTCCCTGGGGTCCCTGGGTCCCTGGGCACGCGTGCGTCCGCTGCAGGTGCCATGAAACAACGTCCTTCCATCAAGACGTCTGGCCAGGGTCCCAAAGTGCATCCATCCTTGTCAACACACGGCGTTTTCAGGGATTTTAGGGACCCCAGAAACCTTACGGACCCTAGGGACCTTAGGGACCCTAAGGGATCTTAGGGACCCCAGGGACCTTAGGGACCCCAGCAACCCTGGGTCTTGGGGGCAAGAGATCCTGTGAAGTGTGAAGTCATCTCTCAAGCTTCGGTTGGTTGCAGCTTGCCAGGCAAGGGGACACAAAGACGCACGGAAGGGCAAAGCTTCTGTTGTTTTTCCATTCGAGCAACTTGCCATACATCTATTTATCTTCGTGTACTCATATCTATTTATTTTCATACATTTATATCTTCATATCTCTACGTATTTGTATCTCTTTATGAATTTTCATATATTTATATCTTTGTATTTTTACAAATTCATATCTTTATATCTTTGTATCTTTATACCTTTCTCTTTATATCTTTATATCTTTATGTCTTTGTGCCTGTATGTTGGTATGTCTCTACATGGTGTTTTCTACATCCGTGTTTGTAGTTGGGAGATGATGTTGTGGTGTTGTGGCCCATTTGCAATGTGTGCGTGTGTGTGTGTGTGTGTGTGTGTGTGTGTGTGTGTGTGTGTGTGTGTGTGTGTGTGTGTGTGTGTGTGTGTGTGTGTGTGTGTGTGTGTTGGCTTCGGCATTTTGTGTTTTTGCATGACCCTATGATGCTGGAGAATGCCCAGGCTGAGTGGTACCCGGCGTGAAGTTCTTGCCAAGATCCCTTCAAGCCCCAAAATCCTTGGGGCCACCAAGGATCTCTTGAAGTCCCTGGGTCGCTGGGTCCCTGAAGTCCTCGGAGTCCCTAGGGTCCCTAGGGTAGGGTTTGCCGGGTTGCTAGGGTCCCTAAGGTCCCTGGGGTCCCTAAGGTCCCTAAGGTCCCTAAGGTCCCCAAGGTCCCTGAACCCGCCGTGCGTTGACAGGGATGAGCGCACTCTGGGGCCTTGGCGAGACGTCTGATGCACACGTGTGCAGGGACCCCAGGGACTCTAGGGACCCTAGGGACCTTAGGGAGCTTAGGGACTCTAGGGAATGTAGGGACCCTAGGTACCCAGGGACCCCAGAGGCCCCAGTGATCCCAGGGACTAGGGGCCCCAGAAACCCCCGCCCTTCAGCCCCTGGCGGCCCGGTGCCGATTTCGGCTGCTTGTTTTGCAGGCAGGCCAGTTTGGTATCTCGCTTGGACTTTGATGCAGCGGCAGGATGTGGGTCAGCCAGTCTGACGGATGGACGCTGCGAAGCCTTGCAAGGCTTGGCCCGACCGACCTTCAGGCCGCGAGTGAAAAGGAGGAGGAGCATCCAAACCCGTGCGTTGGTGTTGCCAAAGAAGCCAGTCAATCTTGTGTTTGCTCTGGAAACTTGGCTCGAGGGTACTCATCAACACTGACACAACAACAGCTCGCAATGGTTGCCCGATGGGTCTAGTGCCAGTGCTTGAGGAATCGCAGGCCGCTCAAGCGCTTTTCGAATAGCCATGGCGATGATGCGGACCAGGACCAAAAGCCGAGGCTGGCAAGCTTGTGACGCTACCGTGCCCGCGGTAGGCAGCGGCCAGGTATGTGCCTTTGCCTTCTCGGGATTGCATTGGCGCTGCTCGTGCAGCCGAGCACGGCCTGGGTCTTGGGACACATTTTTTTCGAAGGTTTTCGGGTTTCAGGAGTCCCTTGTCGCCGCCGCCCAGGACTTTGCTCGAGGAGTTCCTGGGATGAAGGAGCATGAAGTCCCTCCTTTGCATGTTCTTGTTTCGTGCTGAGTGCCAGGACAGCATATTGGCCCAGTTCTCAGAGTTGCCCGCAGGCGCAAGCAGATTGCACTTTGGCTCTTTCAGGTGGCAAAACGGCACCCGTTGCATGCCGGAGTCGCTCGGCGCGCCGGGGCTGCGCAAGAGGACTCCTCCGACCCGAAGCCAGTTCGCATCTTTTGCCGGCTGCCGCCAGGACAACAGTGCCGAGGCCGGGGACACGCTCTTCTTCCATGAAGGATGCCAGCCATGTAAAAATCAGCAGTGTCCGCCTCCATGCGAAGTTCACAATGCTCTTGAAGTGTATTGGCAGACCCTTACCTTTTGACCCCCGGCGGCGAGATAGCATAGTTGATCTTTGTGACTGTACAGGCAATTTGAGGCATTCGGGGAGCGAAAGGAGCTTTGAGTGTCAGTCCAGTGCAAGGGCATCGGCAAGGTGGCGTCTTTGACGGCTCCAGCAGCGCCAGCGGCAACCAGAGTGCTAGTAAACAAGCCGCGTAGGGTCGTGAACACGTGGACCAACATAACACGAAGCAGCAAGGACATGTTGGCACGCAAGAAGTCGTCAGCCGCCCAAGAGTGCTCATCAAATGCTTGAAGGCACTGGGCAAACATTGCCGACGTATCCAGCGGTAGGATTGGCCTTGCAGGCCCGTGAAGTTCAGGAATGGCCATGGCTGTGATGAGGGCCAGGATAAAAAGCCAAGGCCCGCAAGCTGATATGCTGCGCTGTTTGTTGTGTGGTTTTGCAAGGTGCGTGCCTCAGCCTGGGAATGCGCTGGCGTTGCTCATTGCAGTGGCCGAGCACGGCCTGGGTCTTGGGAACGTTGAGGGGTTGGCAGCTGACTCGTTCGGGCTTCAGGAGTCCCTGTCCGCCGCCCACGAGTTTTCGCGAGGAGTTCCCGGTCGGAAGGACCGTGAAGTCCCTCTTTGCGAATGTTCCTGCTTGTGCTGTGATGCGAGGACCGCAACGGCGCACCGGCCCAATCTTCAGACTTGTCCACTAACGCAAGCAGATTGACCCTTTTCGCATCCTGCGAGCTTAGTGAGGCATCGAGCCAGCGCTGGTTGCATGCTGGAGTCGCCTTGCGTGCCAGGGCTGCACGAGAGGACCTTCGGACCCAAAGCTTGCAAGTTTGGACGATTGCAGTTGCCAGGACAACAATGCCGAGGCCTGGGGGACATGTGCATCAGAACGTTGGGCTTCTTGGCTGCCAGGACCGGCTCGATCTCAAGGAGGCGGCGGGCCTTCACCCGTTGCATGCCGGAGTCGCTCGGCGCGCCGGGGCTGCGCAAGAGGACTCCTCCGACCCGAAGCCTGTTCGCATCGTTTGCCGGTTGCCGCCAGGACAACAGTGGCCAGGCCTGGGGGACACGTGCATCGGGCTTGAACGTTGGGCTTGTTGGTTGTCAGGACCGGCGCGATCTCGAGGAGGCGGCGGACCTTCAGAGAAAGCGACGTCCCAGCTTGGCCTCGCTCAGGTGGTCGCAGAAGCCGACAGGGTGCTGGAGGACAACGGCACGGTGAAAGAGACCAAAGCCGTCTTGCGCGGCTGGAGCAGCACGTGGGTCGGGGTTGCAAGAGCGGTGAAAGTGTTGAGCTCAGGAAAAGCGCAGAAGATATATCCAGGGAAGTGGACCCTTTCAGGGAAGAAAGACGAGTTGCAACAAAAACTGCGCGAGTTTGTGGAGGAGGCAGGACTGCGTGCTTTGTCTGAGATTCGCAAGCGGTTTTCGTGCGACGCAGGCCAAAGCAACCAAAAAGGGCTTGGAAGAGGCCGTCGGTTCGTGCGCACAGCTGGGGTGTGTGAGTCGAGTTGGTGCAATTGGTCCGCCAGGATTCCCACAGGGCACAGGTCCAGATCTCGGCGTTGATGTGTTTTTTTTTGCCTAAATTTCAGCTCTTGAGGTGACAAGCTGGCACCCTGGGCGTGGCGGAGTTGCTTCGCGCGCCAGCCCGCAGCAGGACGCTCCAATCAGCAGTTGTAAATTTGGCCGGTTGCAATCGTGCCAGGACAGTGGTGCGGAGGCCGGGGGCTCGCATGCGCCAGGCTTGGTTGTTGGTGAGTGCTGGCAGGACTGGCTCGCCAAGAGCCGTGAGGAGGTGGAGGCTTTTGGCGAAGAGGAGGTTCTGAGCTGGGCCGAAGCGGTGCTGAACGAGGGCAAGGTGAGAGATGAGCTCATCCAGCAGACGGTGACCGCACTGCAGCAGCAGGGCGTCACGGGCAAGTCCCTGCTGAAGCTCACGCTGGAAGAGCTGATGGCAGCTCCGTACAACATCCCTGGCGGCCCTGCAAAGCTTCTGGCTGAGAAGATCCGGCTGTTGCAAGAGCCCGAGGCGCGGCTGGAAAATCGTTTGCTCTTGACTTCGTTCTGAGACGTTGGTCGTTGCGTGTGGTTTTTAAATTCCCCCCGCGGCCCGCTTTTGGTGGGGCTGCCCTGATCAACATCCACAGAACCAGGAAATCCCAAGGTTACATTTGTGCAGATTGCGGCGGTTCGTGTCGTTGGCAGGCTCGGTATGGAGCCCCCATGAACAGATGGTTGCCTTTCCTTGTTGGAGGTCGGCCATTCCTGCCGGTCGACATTGATTGAGACGTGCCGTTGATTGTTGTGAGTGATTTTGCGCTTGCCCTCAGCCTGCTTTTGAAAGAGCAAGACCTGCCCGTCTGCCGGGGAGAGGGAGGGCAAACTCTGATGTCTTTGCACCCATTGGGGCCCTTGCTGCTGCAGGCACAAGTGCATTCTATGAATGTTCTCTTTGATGCAGTGAGCTCAACCATTCCCGGCTTTGCATCCACTCGCAGTGTTCTTGCTCGATTTTTTGCCCGTTTTGCTGCCATTCCATCCTTTTCTGTTGTTCAATTTTCTCCGTACCTGTTCATATCTGCCTGATTTGGTGTGAGTGGTTAGTGGAGCGCAAAACTATCAAACAGTCGAGGGGGAACCCGCAAATATTGAAGAGCCTGCTGTTCCAGTCGCGCTTGCGTTTTCTTGCCGCTTATTTGCAGGGCACAAGCCGCTTGCAACGATCCCTCGCCCCCAAGTGCGACGTGAGAGAACAGCTTTGCGACAGCGCAAGGTTGCTGGTGCGAGCTTTCTGCTTCCCTCGATTTTGATGCACATCGCAAGGTCCCCCTTGGTTTGAATTGAAATGTCTCATCGCGAGGCATGCGGTTGGCCGCACCCGAAATCCAGGGTCAAAGCAAACGTTGGTGACGTTGCTGGCGGCCCGCAAATGCTTTCAGTGGGGTTGCCGGAATCACATCCACAAAGCCAGGAAATCCGAAGATTGGTTTGTGCAGAGCGTAGCACTTCTGTTTGTTTGGAAGCTGGCTGCATTTTTGGCAAATTTAACGTTCCCGTTTTACCTGGATCTGTTGCACTTAACCCCAGAGAAGCAATGGAAGCCGCCCGTGACACCCCTCAAAATTGTGGGTTGTTAAGGCTCAAGTTGATGCTGGTGGCCGTGGTAAAGGGGGAGGTATCAAGCTAGCAAAATCGGTTGAAGAAGTTGGCGACCTACTGCTCGTTGTGTGTGGTTCTTGAGCGACCGCCCGGCATGCTTTCAGTGGGGCTGCCCTGATCACATCCACAGAACCGTGAAATCCCGAAATTGCATTTGCAGATCGCAGTGTTCCTGATTTCATAGACTTCAGCTTGCTGCATGTTTGGCAGACGTGACACGAATCAGCGTGGAGGCCTATGAATCGATGGTTGAGCCCAACAGTGCACCACCTGCTTTGCGTCCCAGAATTGTTTGGTTGTGTTCCGTAGCGCTGCTTTCTTGCCTTTTGCTTGCCTTTGGCAGTGGCTTCGCCATTCGCTGTTCAACACCTCTCCATTTCCAGGCACACATCCGTTTTGCAGGACCCACTGGCCATCATGGCGAACTCAGAGCACACCGTGGAAGGCTTGCTACGCCTTCGAGCCTGCCTGAAAGAGAAACAGCCTGCCAGTGTTCATGGCGAGCCAAACAATGGCGAGTTTCAGGCTCGGCGTTTGGAGTCCCAGGGGTTTTTGAATAGGGTCTCCAAGATGTTGGGGGATCGAAGTCGCAGTGGCTCTTTGACCAAAGCAGACAGCCCGCTGCTGGAGTATGCCACGATGAGTGGCGCTGGCAAGTCACGTTGGGGCTTTGAGGTGGAACGCTTGCTGAAGCGGAACCAAAGCTTCCAGTCTTACGCAGTATCTCGCATAGGGCTGAATTTCAACGGTGGGACTGGTGGCGGGGGAGCTGATGGCACAGAAACAGAATATCTTTTTGAGCAGCAGGGCTTTTCCTTGCAACAAATCATGGCCACACTACTTCTTGCTCGGGGGCTTTTGCAGTGCTCGCCAGACAGTTTTCGAGGGAAGGAGAATTGGTTAAGGGCCTTGAGAGTCAACACAGTTCTTGATGCAGTGTTCAAAAGCTTTGCACACAGCTCGGAAAGGAAGAGCATCCTAGTTGTGCATGTGGATGAGCTTGCATTGCTATTGGAAGCCCGCAAGTTTGATGACCGACAACTCAAACACTTTGTGAACGTTTTGGCTGAATACAACTGTCAGCCGAATCCTTCGGGATTGGTGGTGCCGGTCATTACGCACACTGCGCCGGTGGAATGGGATCCAAAGCCGACTGTGATACCGCTGGAACGACGCAGCCTCTTTCCGTTCAACTTTGGAGACTCCCAGAAGTTCTTCCCAGGAGGGTTCAACTGACGGGGGGGGGGGAAGGGCATGATGTGCACGTGCTTTGGTTTCGAGAGAGCAGCATGTGAGCATGCACACTGGCATGCATTGCGTCCTTTGCTTTCCCTGAGGCCTGAATACAACTGGCCTGGATTCCCGCCGTGCCATCAGTGCCTGCGGAGGTCATGCAGCGTTGCTGGTGGAGTTGCGCCGCTTCATGCAACGGCAGTCTGGCGGACTTGGTGCACTGCTCACATGCAACCGCGTCTCTCAACACAGAAAGTCTTTGCAAAAGATTGAGCAGCTCGGAGCAACATGCAACACCCTCGTTCGGGCAGTGCTTCTGCAAGACGCTCTTGATGATCACCAACTTCAAGATTTCAGACGGTTCTTCCAACTTGGTCTTCTCTTCACAGAGGTGAATGAGTTCAATGACACCTACCGCATCACGGTACCATACCCATGTTTCTTGAACCTGTTGATGCAGTTGGATCGGCCAGAGCGTTTCAATCATCTGCGACACGAAAATCCCACTGGCACAGACCGCCGCTGGAGTTCGAAGTCATTCGAGGCACTTTGCGCAATGCGAGTGGCCATTGACATGATTGGCTTTCCCTACGACCTGCCCTGCGATCCTAGAGCAGCAGCGATAGAATTCAGAAGAAACAGGAAATCTCGTGTGTTTCTTGCAGAGAGCGATACGGAGCTTGGTGTGGACAGCATCGGATTTGACGGCAACACCATGACCTTGGTTCAGAGTAAATACCCAGAGGCTGATACAACCCAAGAGTGGATTAGGGAGTTTATGAACTTCGCAAAAACGACTGGTGTTGATTGGGCTAAATCAGCAAATTGCACAAGAATTTGTGCAATCTTTGCCACTGCGAGGGCATCAAGAAACTATGAATCGGAGTGGCCAATGGAGCTCAATGTCCAGGAAGTGGTCATCACTTACGTAATTTACGCCAAGACTCAAAACAGCAGAACTCGCGCAGTCCGGACAAAGCAGATCGATGAATGGATCCCTCCAGGACTCATGTGCATGTAACAGCAACAGAAGTCGCGCGTCTGGACAGCTGCTGCGGCTGCTGCTCCTGTGGAAAAAGTCGCCAGCGTTCAGTCTCAGCGTCAGGGAAGTCTGATTACACGGTCTGATTACAGAGTCTTCGCCAAATTGCTCATGCGTGTTTGATTAGTTGTTACTGTTTGTTTATCCTAAGAATGTTTCCTCAGGACTCCCTCGTCTCGGCTTTTTTGGCATAAAGCTGCCTGACATTGAAAGACTGCTTTTTGAACGGACGCATCAACAGCTAGAAGGAGAGGAGAGTCAAGGTGGCTGTACTGGTGTACGCATTCACGAGGTCGGGTCTCTGAAGACAGAGCTCGCCAAAGGTCTCCGTTACACGGCTCCGACAAAAAGACACACACCGTGTTTTTGGTGCTGGCTGCTCCTGGACAGGGGAAGTCGCGCTGTCTGCAGGAGCTGCCTGCGTTCATCAACGCGACTCAGGCCATTGGCCAAAGGCGGAAGTCGTCGTTCCTTCTCACCTTGGAGAACGGACACGGGAGACTTTGCTGAAGCTGGCGCTGCGCCACAGGGCAGCGGCGTCCATCCGCTCCAGCCGTGAAAAAGAAGTGCGCGCCTTTTGCATTTGCGGGTTTTTTTGATGTGAGGGTTGTTTGGGTTCAAGCTAAGAGCAGTGCGACAGGCCTTAACAGAATGAAATTCTAAAGATGCAAAAGAGACTTCTTTTTTTGGCATTATTCTTGCTTGGCGGCTTGGTTTCTTTCTCGGTTTTTTTGCGTTGAACAAAAACAACTTTGGCATTGCTCGGCGGTGATGGGTTTGCGTGTTCTTTCACTCTTTGCAAGCTTGTCTGTTTGGTCTTCTTACAAGGTGAGGTGTAAAAATCTGCCGTAAAGGTGATGGAGGGTGGGGTGGGGGGCCGCGTGCTCTAACGCAAATGATGTTTCCAATGTCAAAGAGGTTCCGCATACGGCCCGCTTGCGATGAACTCTAACGCAGTGGATGCCCTGGCATTTTTGGAACGGTTGCCTGAAAAGGAAAGCTAGCCTTCTTCATTTGGTTTAACAGAAACAATGCAAACAATGGCAACCTTTTGACAGGTCAGCGCGTTTTACCCAAAAAACGGCCAGTGGAGAAGTCCAAAGCAAGCAGGCTGCAGCTTCATTTCAAAAAAACACCCAGGAATCATTTTCAGTTTTTTTTTCTCCCCTGGAATCAATGCTCTGATTTGGCTGTTCCGCTGTTTCGGCTCAGCTTTCGGGGGTGCACCCTCGGCTCTGACCAGCTTTCAGGCAACCATAAATCCTTAGCTCAAGAAGGGCTCACTTTTGCTTCCGAATCTCAGAAGCGGAATTTGCTGTGACCAAAGCGCCGGCTTTTCAAACAGGCACGCTGCTTGAAACACGAACATTTTTTTTTTCAGAGTTCACCTGCCGCCATGCCGAGCCTTGTGGATGTGCCGGGCACACAGATCAGCCTTATGCAAATGCGTGGGATTCTTGGAGTTTCACTATCCGGCTGGTATGCCCCCGGTTCAAGTATCAGACAGAGAAGAGCGCTCTGGTTTGGTACTTTGGTTTGGCACACGCATATGTTGCCAGGCGTTTTCAGATTGCCCTGACAACGAATTCTATCAGGATCTACAAGATAGGCGCGTCTGATGAACAGGGCTCTTGCTGGCACCTCTATGATCCGATCCACGTTTTCGCCAGGACTAGCAGGGACATGAACAGGTTGCAAAGCAGATGATATACGTAAATATGTATATATATATTTACACATAGATTATACATATATATTTATATATATATATATATATATATGTATATATCATTGCTTTTCAGGGAAAAACCTAAAGGGTTTCTTTGGCCTTGTGTCATATGAATCGAAGCCGTGCAGTTTCTGGCTGGGGGTCCAGAGGCAGATTGCGGACCATGCCTTGCCAGAATTCGTAGCGGATGGCACCTGTCCAGTGAGTCCTAAATGGTTGCGGCCGCCTTGGTGATTCTTTACATGGTTCGGGGTAGACCATCTTAATATCCGGTTTTGATTGTGACTCACCTGAGCTTCTCTTTGTGCTGAATTTCGTCAACATCAGCAAATATCCGTGATGAGGACCTGTTTCATGTATCGAAAAAGGACCCAGCAAAAATTGTTCAGCCGCTTTTCCCGAAGCACGCTGAGGTCTTCGCTCACCAAGGCAGTCGCCTCAGCAAAAACCCAAAGCACAACCTGCTTGCCCATCCTGAGTATATATATTTTTTTTTTTTTTTTTTGCGGGGTGCTCTATATGGAGGAATGCAATTAAACATGGTTGGCGGACATCAATTGCAAAGGGTCTCGAATTGAGAGTCACAGTCTGGTGGTTCTCACACATCACCGTGTGGGTCGTTTGAACGTGATATTGTTTGGGCTGATGTTCAAAGCGGAAGTATGAGTAACCATGCTCTGCGGAGGATCTGAAATCGAACATTCTTTTTCATTTGGGCAGGAAAAGTGCTGTAGGGTCTCTTCTGAAAATGCAAGCCATGTGGCTGTGGGTCAAAACCAATGGGATCCCATTTTGGGGTAGGTGAGTTCACCACCCATTTTCGATCCTATTTTAGTGGTTGGATTGGGATGTTCGCTGGTGCGATTTGGATTTTGACCTATCCGCGCCTGCAGAGGTCGCGAAAGATGACCTCGGCCTTCTGGAGCAGCCCAAGGCCCGAGTTTTGCCCCGAAGAGCGGCGCCCTCCGCTTCGACTTTTTTTTCTTCTCCGTTTGGGGACCTGGGCAGGATCCGGGGTTTTCTTTTTTGTAGTTTTTTCTAGTTCTTTCTAGTCTTTTTCCCCAGGGCTGGTTGGGAGTTGCTGGAGGGTGGTTTCAGGTTCTGGGTGTGTGTGTAGGCTCTACCGTCCACCATTTAATCACTCCAATCCGCGAACTTGGAGCCTCCAAGCCAATTTGTACAGGACGATTCTCTTGGGGGACACTAACCACGTTTTGGGTTTATGGATTTTGCAGGGCCACACGGAGTCACGCTGTGATTCTACACTTCTATTTGGAGCTGATATCCAGATGTCGTCACCCGCTGGAATTTCACATTTTTTGTCACCATCTCAATGAGAGTTCCAATAGATTCGGAAATTATACAGCTCTGTTTCATCGGAATATTAACAACAGGGCGATCAAATGTTGCCTTTTCTTCAGAGGAATCACCAATACTCTCTCAAGCCTTTGGTGACTTGAGCTAGCCTCCAACACCAGCCCAGAAAAGCCGGGGAAGCCCTCAAGAAGCACGACACCACCCGGAAACGGGTCCGTCCCGAGAATTGCTGTGCTCAAAAGGACACCGGAAAGAGGAGACATGCCCGCTGCAAGAATCAATACGCTGTGTTGTGTATCATTGCAGGCGAAATTGGGTGCAACATTGGGGGTTACCAACGAAGTTCCATTGTCAATTGGGCAGCATCAATGTTGACATTGGCTCAGATGCCCGCTCTTTGCTTTGCAGCAAGCTTGGACTTGGATCATACTCTATAGTTTCCTACTAGCAACATGATCTATTCTCTTTTTGCAAGGGTCGCCGTCCCCGGTATGTCAGCAACACGATAGTATCACAATCAAGAAGATATAATAACTATCAAAACATTTCTTTACATGTTTGACGTTTCGGCCTCTACAACCCTCAAATTGCCTCCGGAAGTTTGCTTGCCTCCCAGAACCTTCACATCGCCTCCGGATTTTGGTTTGCCCCGATCGCCGTTGGCTGAGATTCACCGTGATAAAAAAAAAAGAAGCAACAACGGCGAAAGTTGGCTTTGTCCAATTGAACACTGCCCACTTGTGATATTCCCACTGCATCTTGGGTGCTGCTGGTTGCCGCTTTTAGTCCATCTTTTTGGCAGGAAGCACCGGTTGCATATTCTGGGAAGAATCCAGTGAAATTCGTTCCGGAAGATTTTTATGGTCTTTGGGCAACGCAACTTCAAGGCTCTGGAGGCGGTTTTGGAGAGCTCCGATGGAAGTGCTGCGGTGCATGCCCTGATTCCTGCGATGTGGTGGGGGTTGCTTTGCTTTCGATGCATGGATGTCCCATCCCTTTACCTTCAGGCGCATGCACAGTAGTAGTAGTAGTAGTAGTAGTAGTAGTAGTAGTAGTAGTAGTAGTAGTAGTAGTAGTAGTAGTAGTAGTAGTAGTAGTAGTAGTAGTAGTAGTAGTAGTAGTAGTAGTAGTAGTAGTAGTAGTAGTAGTAGTAGTAGTAGTAGTAGTAGTAGTAGTAGTAGTAGTAGTAGTAGTAGTAGTAGTAGTAGTAGTAGTAGTAGTAGTAGTAGTAGTAGTAGTAGTAGTAGTAGTAGTAGTAGTAGTAGTAGTAGTAGTAGTAGTAGTAGTAGTAGTAGTAGTAGTAGTAGTAGTAGTAGTAGTAGTAGTAGTAGTAGTAGTAGTAGTAGTAGTAGTAGTAGTAGTAGTAGTAGTAGTAGTAGTAGTAGTAGTAGTAGTAGTAGTAGTAGTAGTAGTAGTAGTAGTAGTAGTAGTAGTAGTAGTAGTAGTAGTAGTAGTAGTAGTAGTAGTAGTAGTCGTAGTCGTAGTAGTAGTCGTAGTAGTAGTAGTAGTAGTAGTAGTAGTAGTAGTAGTAGTAGTAGAAGTACTAGTAATAGTAGCCACAAGCATCGCAGTAGTAGTAGTGATAGCAACAGGAATAGTAGTAGTAGTAGTAGTAGTAGTAGGAGGAGGAGGAGCAGCAGCAGCAGCAGCAGCAGCAGCAGCAGCAGCAGCAGCAGCAGCAGCAGCAGCAGCAGCAGCAGAGCAGCAGTAGTAGTAGCAGTAGCAGTAGTAGTAGTAGCAGTAGCAGCAGTAGTGCATTCTGTGGATTCCAAAGCTGGCGGACCATATCCCACTGAGGTTTGAGATGTCCACCTTGTCTTGCAGAATGAGGAGGAAGCATTGCCATCTTTAAGAGATTAGAGTCTTTGGCTTAATAACTGGTTCCAAGACATTCGATCAACATCAGCAGTTTTCCTTGAAAGCTGGTTGGAAACACTGGGGAACCCACTTCCTTTAGAGGCTCATCCGTCGCAGGTTCCGAAGTTCCGCACTGCTCTGGCGTGCCCTGGCGGTGTGCAAGGATTTTGGTAGCTCTAGAGTGAAGGTCATTGGACAAGGTGATCCAGTGTCTTTGTTGATTGGGGTGCTGATTTGGGTGGTCGTTTCCACAAGGTTCCGTACAGTGTTTCCCAGTCTTCGCGAGGAAGAGCGTGGAACAAGCACTCGTGAAATTCCGCCTTCCGCAGCAGTCTGATGACCAGCTGAGCAGGATGGTTCGCCTTTGCTTGTTTTGGGTTGTGTGCCCACACACGGCTTTTTGAAGGATGTGTCTAAGTGAGTCAGAATGGTACATCCCAGAAATTGGGTGAGCAGCGTGAACAGGCCCCTGCTTATTGAGGTCCCGTTTCAGCTTTAGAACATGGAGTTCCTTTGTATTCATCGCTGCACGGTGTCTACGGGGGGTGGGTGTTCAATGGGACCCTGGATCCATGGTTTGAAACGGGAATGTAAAGCCTGGGCTGACTGCCATCAGATAAGGGTCCAGGTTCATTCAACTTTCAGAGATTGGGCCACTAGAAAGGCAAAATCAGGAGCTAGCAGTGCCATGTGTGGGCAAAAGCCATAGGGCTTCGGGATGGCTTAGCTGAGGCAAATCTACGTCCGAAACCAGCCTTATGGAGGATCGGACAAGAGCTCCAACGGCCACCGCTATGACTCTATTCCCTTTTCCAATGGCATGATCAATGCAGGCATGAGCTGCCAGCTCATCCACTACGTCCATGAGGAGCACGCAAAGTTCTTTGATGTGTGCAAAAGCTTTGATGCCATCATTGTGCGATGCAATCCCGGACAAATCAAGGCAGATGGCGGCGACCAGGCAAAGTTTGATGATGGCATGCGGGCCATGCGCAAGCTGGGCATCCAGGTGTGGCCTTCGCCCGATGTGATGGAGTTTATGGGTGCCAAGGATGCCTTGTGCAAGGTGGCGCACTTGAACATTGGCTTGGAGGACACCTTGGCATACTACTCGCCTGAAGAGTTTGCTGCTGGATTCAAGAAGACCATGGCGTTCCAGCCGCGGGTGATCAAGCAGAACCGAGGCTCGTCCGGCGAGGGCATTTGGATCATCAAGCTGAAGAAGGGTGACTACTGCAAGTCGTACGGTGATCGCTCATGCGCAGATGACGAGGTGCTGGACATGATGGAGGCAAACGACAACCATTCAGAAGAGCATACCGTCGCCGAGTTCATTGAATTCTGTGCAAACGGCCGCACAAACAGTTCTGGCACATGGACGTCCAAGGGAGTCGGCAAGTACCTGGAGGGCGGCAAGGCGGCTGGTGGCCAGCTTGTGGATCAGCGCTTTTGCCCGCGAATTGTGGAGGGCGAGCTGCGCTACAACATGGTGGTGGACACTCTTGTTGGCATCATCCACAAGAAGCCCAAGGAGGGTGGCATCTCGGCAGTCGGAGGGACTGGCTCGATCTACACCTTCTATGGCCCGGAGGAGACCAAATTCAAGGCCTTGACCGATAACTTCTTGAAGCGGGATTTGCCTCACGTCATGCCTTCCTTGGGTTTGTCAGAAGAGCCCATCCCGCTTTGGTGGACCACAGATTTCATTTTGGCCTCTCCCGAAGGAACTCCGGCAGACCAGGAGAAGTGGATCGTGGGCGAGTTCAACTGCTCCTGCGTGGGCATTTCCAAGTGCTTGGCAGCGTACTGCAAGGACCATCAGCGAATACTTCAAACTCATTTCAACTTGTTTCGTGTGGTGCCTTTTTCTCGTCAGCCTGGTGTACATATATATATATATATACATATACATAATACATGATATATATGTATATAGAATGTAATATACATATGTATATATATATATATACATAATATATGTATATATATATTTCCAGGGCTTCTCCACAGTTTTGGTCTATGGGATCTGTTCGGTCTCCGGCTCCGGGACTCAAAGAAATCGGAGCTGGATACATCAACCTGTTTGACGAAGACTTCCAAACGTGAAGGATCTCCTTTTAGGCACAGATCCTTTGGGAGCCCTCGAGTTGTATTTGTGGAGGTGGTTTATTTCAGGTTTTTGCAAGATCACAACAAAGTCACTCGAAGGCAAAAGGGGCTTTGATGGATGGAGAAGGACTGTATAGTCCTTTAATTTGCGGGCGGACATCTTAATCTGGTGATTGTCGCGATGAAAACCACCGGGCGGCGACATCTCAGCTGGGATAGCAGCTCCAAACAAAAGTGCCACTTCGTGTAGTTATCAAAACCCGTGTGATGCATCTCTCCTGCAAAACCGTAACAAGCCCCAAAAATAGGGGTCCCCCAGAAGCTCACAAAAGCCACTGTGAGCCATTGAATGTGAAAGACGAATACAATGCACCTGCTCGGCCAGGTTCAGAATATGGCCCAGTCCCGTACATGCGACACCTATCAACTAGCATTTTGGGGGTTTCTCTTCTTGCCGTTTTCAAGAGAAAGGCAAGCAGTTTGGTTTGGATTTCCCTAAATTCCATCTGTTTGCCACCGGTGGCCATCGCTCGATCTCTTTTTCTTGCGCTCGCTCAGCTTCAGGACGACACGCCCCAGGCATCGTTCAAAGACATCGCTGCGGATGACCTCAAGGAAGCCCAGACGTGGCTTGGACGGATTCTCGAGGGCGGGTTCAACGTACATGGCGGTGTTCTAGGCGAGAAGGAGCAAACGCCCAAACGCCCATCAAGATTTTTCGGGTCCACCACTTTGTTTGGCACTTTTTCTTTTTTTTTTTAAAATAAACTTTCGATCCTTGTTCCACTTTTCTGGCAGCAAGGATCACCCAAACCGTCTCTCTGGCATGGTTCTGCCCTCCTTTCTGCGGGGTTGGTGATCACCCTTGCAGCTGGTTCTGATTGGTTCCTGATGGTGTGTGTGTTCACCAGAAACAAGTCTTTAATGCCCTGGCAGCCACATGGAACCTGCTGATTGGAGGTTCCTTTGTTGGAAACCTATGGTGCTGTGTGCACAACAGCCACCCCTTAAAAGCAAAGCCTCATAGAAGTTTCTGGTGTTGCGCAGCTAGACCCTTTGAGTTTAGAGGACATTCATGAGACATTCGCATCCTCGTGCTTACACCAAAGCGGTTTCCGCTTTGTTGGGCTCCCCATTTCTCCTTCACATCCGGGGCTCAGTGATAAAGCCAGGGCCCAGGCTTTGGAAGGACCCTTCGCCTGGGCCCCCGCAAAAAGCCTCTTGGTTTGGTCGGACACCTCTGGCTTGGGTCCAAACCAAAGCAAAACCAGCTCCAAAGTTGGCGTCCTGGCAGTTGCCAGCTGAAACAAAGACTCAGGTGTGACAAGCAGAGAAACAGCACCCCCCTTCCGCCGGAAGGTTTCTTTGCCGGTGCTCAGCAGGGAATGAGAATTGGAATGGCCCCCAGAAACACCATCCAACTAGTGGTTTCCTTCATTCGGGAATCCCCTCAGGTTCATTCCCACCTTCCCTGCCGGCACCAGCAAGCTTTGGAGCTCCGTAGGTACGGCGACATGATGGGCAGCAAGGCCCTGGGCATCTTGGATGCCGCGGCCTGTCAGCCCGTGGACGTCTCGAGCTTGACCCGGGTGGCCAAGGACGTGGGTCGTGTCTTTTTTTCTTCAGGGAACCCCCTTTCAAAGGTGTGTATTCCTTTTGACCAGAAAGGGAGTACCCACAAAAACGACACACCCAGCTTGTGTCGTTTTACCCCCAGCTTGGCTTGGCGGAATCCCCGAACTCCGCGAGGATTTCGCCGGTTTGCGGCCGCAGCCCTCGAGTGTCTGCTACAAGACCGCCCTGGCGCAAATCTACGTGCGGAGCGCGCCGTACGGAGGCCAACCAATCGCACAACACCGGTTGCGGTTTCGCAAAGCAGTCCAAGCTCCTCTGCTTGCTGAATACAGCACCCTACCACCACTTGCCAGTGTCAATAGAAGACGAGTGTCAACATGATCAGGATCCATTCAGACAAACGGCACCTTGCCCCTGGCTGGCTGAAGCCCTTCTGCGCTTTTGCGCTGAAGCCTGGCCACCCCGAAAAGCTTCCAAGGATTAAATCAAGTCCCTTGACAAGATCCAAGCGTGGACTCACGAAGCGCTGCAATCTTGCTGGCAGTATGCAGTGCCAGCGCACGACATTGCAATCAGATGGCTGTAGACCGATTCCGCACATTCAACTAGTTCCAACTGTTTCAATTCAGCTGATTTCATTCCCCACATCTTTGTGTGGGGTTCTTACTTTTTCCGCTTGTCGTCCGCGCGCCGCGTCTCCTCCTCCTCCTCCTCCTCCCGCTCGTCTCCGTCTCACTCACTCACTCACTCACTCACTCACTCACTCACTCACTCACTCACTCACTCACTCACTCACTCACTCACTCACTCACTCACTCACTCACTCACTCACTCACTCACTCACTCACTCACTCACTCACTCACTCACTCACTCACTCACTCACTCAACTCACACTCACTCACTCACACTCACTCACTCACACTCAGTCACTCACACTCACTCACACTCACTCACACTCACTCACTCACACTCAGTCACTCACACTCACTCACACTCACTCACTCACACTCACTCAAACTCACTCACTCACTCACTCACGCTCACTCACACTCACTCACTCACTCACTCATTCACTCACTCTCATTCACTCACTCACTCACTCACTCGCTCACTCACTCACTCACACTCGCTGACTCACGGCAGCTGTCTAGAGGGACAGGATGTTGTCGCGCGCGCGGCGGGGGGCGTGCGAAATCGTGGCAGGCGCAGCACTTTGGCGATGCCGTTGCGAAATCGTGGCAGGCGCAGCACTTTGGCGATGCCGTTGCCGAAGTCGTGGCAGGCGCAGCATTCTGTGCATCTGGGTGTGTGTTTGTGTGGCAGGGGTCGCATTCGGCAGCTGTCTAGAGGGACAGGATGTTGTCGCGCGCGCGGCGGGGGGCGTGCGAAATCGTGGCAGGCGCAGCACTTTGGCGATGCCGTTGCGAAATCGTGGCAGGCGCAGCACTTTGGCGATGCCGTTGCCGAAGTCGTGGCAGGCGCAGCATTCTGTGCATCTGGGTGTGTGTTTGTGTGGCAGGGGTCGCATTCGGCAGCTGTCTAGAGGGACAGGATGTTGTCGCGCGCGCGGCGGGGGGCGTGCGAAATCGTGGCAGGCGCAGCACTTTGGCGATGCCGTTGCGAAATCGTGGCAGGCGCAGCACTTTGGCGATGCCGTTGCCGAAGTCGTGGCAGGCGCAGCATTCTGTGCATCTGGGTGTGTGTTTGTGTGGCAGGGGTCGCATTCGGCAGCTGTCTAGAGGGACAGGATGTTGTCGCGCGCGCGGCGGGGGGCGTGCGAAATCGTGGCAGGCGCAGCACTTTGGCGATGCCGTTGCGAAATCGTGGCAGGCGCAGCACTTTGGCGATGCCGTTGCCGAAGTCGTGGCAGGCGCAGCATTCTGTGCATCTGGGTGTGTGTTTGTGTGGCAGGGGTCGCATTCGGCAGCTGTCTAGAGGGACAGGATGTTGTCGCGCGCGCGGCGGGGGGCGTGCGAAATCGTGGCAGGCGCAGCACTTTGGCGATGCCGTTGCGAAATCGTGGCAGGCGCAGCACTTTGGCGATGCCGTTGCCGAAGTCGTGGCAGGCGCAGCATTCTGTGCATCTGGGTGTGTGTTTGTGTGGCAGGGGTCGCATTCGGCAGCTGTCTAGAGGGACAGGATGTTGTCGCGCGCGCGGCGGGGGGTGTGCGAAATCGTGGCAGGCGCAGCACTTTGGCGATGCCGTTGCGAAATCGTGGCAGGCGCAGCACTTTGGCGATGCCGTTGCCGAAGTCGTGGCAGGCGCAGCATTCTGTGCATCTGGGTGTGTGTTTGTGTGGCAGGGGTCGCATTCGGCAGCTGTCTAGAGGGACAGGATGTTGTCGCGCGCGCGGCGGGGGGCGTGCGAAATCGTGGCAGGCGCAGCACTTTGGCGATGCCGTTGCGAAATCGTGGCAGGCGCAGCACTTTGGCGATGCCGTTGCCGAAGTCGTGGCAGGCGCAGCATTCTGTGCATCTGGGTGTGTGTTTGTGTGGCAGGGGTCGCATTCGGCAGCTGTCTAGAGGGACAGGATGTTGTCGCGCGCGCGGCGGGGGGGCGTGCGAAATCGTGGCAGGCGCAGCACTTTGGCGATGCCGTTGCGAAATCGTGGCAGGCGCAGCACTTTGGCGATGCCGTTGCCGAAGTCGTGGCAGGCGCTGCATTCTGTGCATCTGGGTGCTCTGTAATCGCATCCATACAAGGGGCGCACAGTACATGTGTGTGGACATTTGAACTCACATCCTTGGGAAAAACATAGCATGTGGGGTTATCCGGTCCTTTAATTGTTTTATTCTATTCAACTGATGTCAAATTCAGCCAATTCCACTTGTTTTCCTGATTTTGTCGTCCTCCATCATGTCGAGATAGCTGCCTGTGTGTCTATCCTACATGCAGATTCAGGAATCCACAGTATGTTGTCCAAAAGACTGAGCAGCATAATTTCGGGGTACTTTCGGGCGAGGGGTTTGGAGGGCTTTTGAATCGCCGGAGATCGGTTTTCGTTTGCACCAGGCTCGGACAAGAGCTCCAACGGACATCGCTACGACTCCATCCCCTTTGCGAACGGCATGATCAACGCCGGCATGAGCTGCCAGCTTATCCACTACACCCATGAGGAGTGTCTAAGGGTTGTTGTATGACACCCTGGGATTACAAGCTTGGGAAATGGCCCAAACTAACATGACTGTCATTTCCCAGTGGGGGTAATGCCAGGTCGTAATACAAAAACCCTTGAGAGTGGGCCGGAAAGCTTTGGCAAAGCACTAGACAAGGGGAGAAGGGGAGGGGTTGCTTCCTGACACAGAGTGATGATCAGAAAGTCAGTAGCCCTGCCTGCAGCCGGTGCGGGGGACCCCAGCCAGCACTGCAACTGGGACAATTGCTGGAAGCGTATTCTTAGTTTTGGGAGAACATTGAGGAGCACTCAGTTTTCTCATTGTCATATGCCTCTTTTGTTTTTGCTTCGGGCTCTTCTCCAGTTGCTTTCAACCGCGCGCATTTGTCTACAGATGTGGCTTCTCCGGAGACCTGTTTAGTTAGGTAAGCTTCCCTTTGCGGCAAGCTGTGAATGGTTGTTCGCTGCCATCAAGAGAGTGAATGACCAAATGATTTATGCAACTGTCTGGGGCGGTTAGGTGATGTTTTGTTACGGCTTCAAATCTCATTGGTGTTTGTCACAGTAGCCGTTATTCAAAGCCAACCACCCTCCGCCCAACGCGCTTGTGTTCTCTTTGCGCATTGCGAATTGAGCGTCGCTTCCCAATGCCGAAGCCTTCTCCTCAGGTTCATCAAGGCCTTTGCTTGGGTTGCACATCCTCATTTGGGACACAAAACCGGCAGTTTGTCCTAGTTTGAGATTGCACAAAGGTTGCCATTCTATCAGGAGTCGATATCCAAGTCAGACGTGCCTCAAATCTTGTAGATTCGATGAATCTGGATATGATTATAGAATCTGGATATGAGTATAGTAGTCAAATGAGTTTCGTTTGGAAGGGATGGAGCCAACTTTGCATTTGGAGTGTTCTTTGAACGGAGGTGGACCTTGCGTGTTGAAGATTTCTAGCCTTACCTGAACCTGAATGCTGATTTTCGTCTGTGCCCCCTCGCGCCAGCAAGTGGCAAGCTGCCACATGCTGGTTCCTGGGCAAATCAGAGGCTTCTCTTTCAAAGCACAAGGGTCCAGGGTGAAATCCGAAAGGTCGCAAAATCCATCAGTTTTCCATGGCCCCATGTCCGGGGATCTTAACATGGGTTCCCTCTTCAGCAACTGAAGCTTTTTCACTGGCCGCGGGGCCGAAGCACATTTTTCTCAAAGCGTTCCCACGGGTTGGGTGTGGTAGACCATGACGCACCTCCAGTTCAGTTGGTGACATACTCTGAATGTTATTTTTCCTTGTGGTAATCGGTAGCCGCAGAGTTTTTGACCTGCACATCTCTTGAGAAAGGGCTCAAGTCCTGTGCTTCATGGGATATCCTTTGAGCCACTTGGAAAAGCTCTATTTCTAAAGGATCAACGACCAAGCCGGCAATTTGCACCATTTTGAAGATTCCTCTTGGCAACCCGCAGGAGCACGCAAAGTTCTTTGACGTGTGCAAGAACTTTCATGCCATCATTGTGCGCTGCAATCCTGGACAAATCAAGGCAGATGGCGGCGACCAGGCAAAGTTTGATGATGGCATGCGGGCCATGCGCAAGCTGGGCATCCAGGTGTGGCCTTCGCCCGATGTGATGGAGTTCATGGGCGCCAAGGATGCCTTGTGCAAGGTGGCGCACTTGAACATTGGCTTGGAGGACACCTTGGCATACTACTCGCCTGAAGAGTTTGCTGCTGGATTCAAGAAGACCATGGCGTTCCAGCCGCGGGTGATCAAGCAGAACCGAGGCTCGTCCGGCGAGGGCATTTGGATCATCAAGCTGAAGAAGGGTGACTACTGCAAGTCGTACGGTGATCGCTCATGCGCAGATGATGAGGTGCTGGACATGATGGAGGCGAACGACAACCACTCAGAAGAGCATACGGTCGCCGAGTTCATTGAATTCTGTGCAAGCGGCCGCACGTCTAAGTCCGGCACATGGACGTCCAAGGGAGTCGGCAAGTACTTGGAGGGCGGCAAGGCTGCTGGTGGACAGCTTGTGGATCAGCGCTTTTGCCCGCGAATTGTGGAGGGAGAGCTGCGCTACAACATGGTGGTGGACACTCTTGTTGGCATCATCCACAAGAAGCCCAAGGAGGGTGGCATCTCGGCAGTCGGAGGGACTGGCTCGATCTACACCTACTACGGTCCGGAGGAGACCAAATTCAAGGCCCTGACCGAGAACTTCTTGAAGCGGGATTTGCCTCACGTCATGCCTTCCTTGGGATTGGCAGAAGAGCCCATCCCGCTTTGGTGGACCACAGATTTCATTTTGGCCTCTCCCGCAGGAACTCCGGCAGACCAGGAGAAGTGGATCGTGGGCGAGTTCAACTGCTCCTGTGTTGGCATCTCCAAATGCTTGGCTGCATACTGCAAGGATGACACCCCGAACGCTACCTACTACGATATTGAGGCAAGCGACTTGAAGGATGCCGATGCTTATGGGGACTTGATGGGAGTCAAAGCCAAGGCAATTCTGGAGCAAGCGCAGAATCCAGTAAGCGTTGCTTCCATTAGCCAAGTGGCCAAAGACAACTTGGGATTGATGTCGCAGCCCGCCAACCCGACGTTCAAGTGTGCACTGGCTCAGATTTACGTTCGCAACCAGCCATATGGCGGCTCGGACAAGAGCTCCAACGGCCACCGCTATGATTCTATTCCCTTTGCCAATGGCATGATCAATGCAGGCATGAGCTGCCAACTCATCCACTACGTGCATGAGGAGCACGCAAAGTTCTTTGATGTGTGCAAACACTTTGCTGCCATCATTGTGCGCTGCAATCCTGGACAAATCAAGGCAGATGGCGGCGACCAGGCAAAGTTTGATGATGGCATGCGGGCCATGCGCAAGCTGGGCATCCAGGTGTGGCCTTCGCCCGATGTGATGGAGTTTATGGGCGCCAAGGATGCCTTGTGCAAGGTGGCGCACTTGAACATTGGCTTGGAGGACACCTTGGCATACTACTCGCCTGAAGAGTTTGCTGCTGGATTCAAGAAGACCATGGCGTTCCAGCCGCGGGTGATCAAGCAGAACCGAGGCTCGTCCGGCGAGGGCATTTGGATCATCAAGCTGAAGAAGGGTGACTACTGCAAGTCGTACGGTGATCGCTCATGCGCAGATGATGAGGTGCTGGATATGATGGAGGCAAACGACAACCACTCAGAAGAGCATACGGTCGCCGAGTTCATTGAATTCTGTGCAAGCGGCCGCACGTCTAAGTCCGGCACATGGACGTCCAAGGGAGTCGGCAAGTACTTGGAGGGCGGCAAGGCTGCTGGTGGACAGCTTGTGGATCAGCGCTTTTGCCCGCGAATTGTGGAGGGCGAGCTGCGCTACAACATGGTGGTGGACACTCTTGTTGGCATCATCCACAAGAAGCCCAAGGAGGGTGGCATCTCGGCAGTCGGAGGGACTGGCTCGATCTACACCTACTACGGTCCGGAGGAGACCAAATTCAAGGCCCTGACCGAGAACTTCTTGAAGCGGGATTTGCCTCACGTCATGCCTTCCTTGGGATTGGCAGAAGAGCCCATCCCGCTTTGGTGGACCACAGATTTCATTTTGGCCTCTCCCGAAGGAACTCCGGCAGACCAGGAGAAGTGGATCGTGGGCGAGTTCAACTGCTCCTGTGTTGGCATCTCCAAATGCTTGGCTGCATACTGCAAGGATGACACGCCTAAAGCCTCTTACAACGACATCGAGCCAGAGGATTTGAAGGCAGCTCAGGCCTACGGAGACTTGATGGGTGTCAAGGCTTTGGGCATCTTGCAGAAGTCCGGCACCGCCGATGGACCTGTCAGTGTGGCAGCCATTAGTCAAGTGGCCAAAGACAACTTGGGATTGATGTCGCAGCCGGCCAGCCCGAAGTTCAAGTGTGCACTGGCTCAGATTTACGTTCGCAACCAGCCATATGGCGGCTCGGACAAGAGCTCCAACGGCCACCGCTATGATTCTATTCCCTTTGCCAATGGCATGATCAATGCAGGCATGAGCTGCCAACTCATCCACTACGTCCATGAGGAGCACGCAAAGTTCTTTGATGTGTGCAAAAACTTTGCTGCCATCATTGTGCGCTGCAATCCTGGACAAATCAAGGCAGATGGCGGCGACCAGGCAAAGTTTGATGATGGCATGCGGGCCATGCGCAAGCTGGGCATCCAGGTGTGGCCTTCGCCCGATGTGATGGAGTTTATGGGCGCCAAGGATGCCTTGTGCAAGGTGGCGCACTTGAACATTGGCTTGGAGGACACCTTGGCATACTACTCGCCTGAAGAGTTTGCTGCTGGATTCAAGAAGACCATGGCGTTCCAGCCGCGGGTGATCAAGCAGAACCGAGGCTCGTCCGGCGAGGGCATTTGGATCATCAAGCTGAAGAAGGGTGACTACTGCAAGTCGTACGGTGATCGCTCATGCGCAGATGATGAGGTGCTGGATATGATGGAGGCAAACGACAACCACTCGGAAGAGCATACGGTCGCTGAGTTCATTGAATTCTGTGCAAGCGGCCGCACGTCTAAGTCCGGCACATGGACGTCCAAGGGAGTCGGCAAGTACTTGGAGGGCGGCAAGGCTGCTGGTGGACAGCTTGTGGATCAGCGCTTTTGCCCGCGAATTGTGGAGGGCGAGCTGCGCTACAACATGGTGGTGGACACTCTTGTTGGCATCATCCACAAGAAGCCCAAGGAGGGTGGCATCTCGGCAGTCGGAGGGACTGGCTCGATCTACACCTACTACGGTCCGGAGGAGACCAAATTCAAGGCCCTGACCGAGAACTTCTTGAAGCGGGATTTGCCTCACGTCATGCCTTCCTTGGGATTGGCAGAAGAGCCCATCCCGCTTTGGTGGACCACAGATTTCATTTTGGCCTCTCCCGAAGGAACTCCGGCAGACCAGGAGAAGTGGATCGTGGGCGAGTTCAACTGCTCCTGTGTTGGCATCTCCAAATGCTTGGCTGCATACTGCAAGGATGACACGCCTAAAGCCTCTTACAACGACATCGAGCCAGAGGATTTGAAGGCAGCTCAGGCCTACGGAGACTTGATGGGTGTCAAGGCTTTGGGCATCTTGCAGAAGTCCGGCACCGCCGATGGACCTGTCAGTGTGGCAGCCATTAGTCAAGTGGCCAAAGACAACTTGGGATTGATGTCGCAGCCGGCCAGCCCGAAGTTCAAGTGTGCACTGGCTCAGATTTACGTTCGCAACCAGCCATATGGCGGCTCGGACAAGAGCTCCAACGGCCACCGCTATGATTCTATTCCCTTTGCCAATGGCATGATCAATGCAGGCATGAGCTGCCAACTCATCCACTACGTCCATGAGGAGCACGCAAAGTTCTTTGATGTGTGCAAAAACTTTGCTGCCATCATTGTGCGCTGCAATCCTGGACAAATCAAGGCAGATGGCGGCGACCAGGCAAAGTTTGATGATGGCATGCGGGCCATGCGCAAGCTGGGCATCCAGGTGTGGCCTTCGCCCGATGTGATGGAGTTTATGGGCGCCAAGGATGCCTTGTGCAAGGTGGCGCACTTGAACATTGGCTTGGAGGACACCTTGGCATACTACTCGCCTGAAGAGTTTGCTGCTGGATTCAAGAAGACCATGGCGTTCCAGCCGCGGGTGATCAAGCAGAACCGAGGCTCGTCCGGCGAGGGCATTTGGATCATCAAGCTGAAGAAGGGTGACTACTGCAAGTCGTACGGTGATCGCTCATGCGCAGATGATGAGGTGCTGGATATGATGGAGGCAAACGACAACCACTCGGAAGAGCATACGGTCGCTGAGTTCATTGAATTCTGTGCAAGCGGCCGCACGTCTAAGTCCGGCACGTGGACGTCCAAGGGAGTCGGCAAGTACTTGGAGGGCGGCAAGGCTGCTGGTGGACAGCTTGTGGATCAGCGCTTTTGCCCGCGAATTGTGGAGGGCGAGCTGCGCTACAACATGGTGGTGGACACTCTTGTTGGCATCATCCACAAGAAGCCCAAGGAGGGTGGCATCTCGGCAGTCGGAGGGACTGGCTCGATCTACACCTACTACGGTCCGGAGGAGACCAAATTCAAGGCCCTGACCGAGAACTTCTTGAAGCGGGATTTGCCTCACGTCATGCCTTCCTTGGGATTGGCAGAAGAGCCCATCCCGCTTTGGTGGACCACAGATTTCATTTTGGCCTCTCCCGAAGGAACTCCGGCAGACCAGGAGAAGTGGATCGTGGGCGAGTTCAACTGCTCCTGTGTTGGCATCTCCAAATGCTTGGCTGCATACTGCAAGGATGACACGCCTAAAGCCTCTTACAACGACATCGAGCCAGAGGATTTGAAGGCAGCTCAGGCGTATCTCGGCTTCCGGGTTGGGGGGGTTTTACGGTTCGTATGCTGCCTTGGCATTTAGGATTCTTCTGATTTGGGCCTCGTCTGCTTCAAGGCTTGGGTTTCCAAGCTTGTCTGGTCACTTTGGGATGAATAGAGGGATATCCTACCCTAAACCACCCTGAACAGTTTGGGGGGGGGGTTCACTTCCTGATTCTGGCAATTCTGGTTCTTTACTGGTTTTCGTGGGGCCTTCCAGATTTCGTCCCAATTGGTGGAGCTTACTGTAGCTGTCCCTGTCCGCGGAGTTTAGCATACCTTTGTTTTGGTGGCATGTCCAAAGACATTTAGTTGGAACCCTGTGGCCACGCTACCTATGGATTCTTAAGGTGTTGGGCACAAGCTCATGTCGAACATAAAACATCGGTTGGGGGGTGATTTGTCATGAATGTGTTTGGCAGTAGTCCCAATGACGAATGATGTTTGGGACAAGGAATCCCATGTGCAAAGTCCCTGAGAAGAGAGTTGGTGGGAAAAGATAAGATGGAAGGGCAACTACAAGATACACAACATGATGGTGGTCCAACCTTATCAGCTTACTGTATCATCCAAAATTGACGAGAACAAATGAACACAGAATTAGAGTTCACATGGCAAAACCCGTGCAAATGAGGCGGGGGAAAGGGCTGGCAGCGGGTCCACACGTGGTCGTTACCCCTTCGTTGTTCGGTTTCCAGACCCGAAACGCCTTCCGATTCCGAGGTACGGTGACTTGATGGGGGTGAAGGCCCTGGGTATCCTTTCAGCCGGCGGCGCGGCCGGCGCTTCAGCCGGCGGTGCGAGCTGTGGTCGACTGGTGCGGAGCCGAGCTTTCGGCCCCATCCGCCCTCGCGCGTGAGCTTCCTTTCGGCCGTTTGGGGGTCCAAGGTGCAGGGAGAACTATTTTGTCTTTGCTTTTTGGACGAGCCAGGTGGTGGAGCATGTCTGTTTTTGAGAATATTCCATGGCAGGTGGAACCTGCTTTAGAACGAAAGGGGAACCAAAGGAAGCCAAAGCAAGCCAAAAGGAAAACCAAAGGAACAACTTGTTTGAACAAACAGGCCCAGGTTGCATGCAAAGGGAAGCGAAAAGGATGACGTTTAAACAATAGTGGTTATGTGATTATGCTCACCAACCCTGCTTGGAACACGCTCAACGATGAACATAAATCCACCCATTCTTGATTTCCACGTTCCCTTAAAGATAACAACAAAGACCCAGTTTGGTGCAGACGCCTTGCCGTGCCTTCACTCCACATGTGATGCAATCAGTGGGTCATCGCAAGAGCCACATTGAGCTGAGGACTCTTCTTGGTTGAATCACGGCTCGGGACTTTGCTAGCGCTTTCGGTGTTTGGCAGGATGTTGAACACTTTGCTTGGATCACTTTGACCCGTTGATCCAGAGCTACGGCAAGGTTTTCCTTTTCAACATCAAAGCCTGGAAAAGGCCTAGCCAATGCAACGACCCTCCCGCCAATCATCATGGAAGCTGATGTTCGGGGGTCGCTTTAAAAGGAAAACCATCTTTCAGGACCCGGTTCCATGCTACTTGGTGGGAGGGTACCTATTTCTTAGGAGCACTACAAGAGACGGACCAAATCCTGCGCAGCTTGGTACGTGTCGGACATTCATGGCTTCGGTACGGAAGCCTTCAGGACTTTGGCCCTCATTCACGAACGGCCCCAACTGTCCAACATGAGCTCTCCATGGAAAAAGGAAAATGCAGTAGCGCAAACATACAATGCAATCTAGGTGATGCTTGTTTCTCCACCAAAGGGGCGTGTTTGACGCATCGACTTTTAGCCAACATAGGGCTCCTGATACTTCCTCATGACCGCGTCATCAGGAAGCAATGGAAATGCGGCCATGCTCCAAAGCCAAGTTGGCGAAAAGCTGCCATGGAAGCATCCCCTTTTGGCTTTCCCATCTCCCATGCTTTTTCAGCTTTCCTCGGTTTGGGAAAAAGGGGTTTGTGATTTCTTGCTGCCATGTTTCTGAATCAGGTCCAACAAAAACCACCAAAAACCAAACCATGTTTGCTGCCAAGTTTTTTTTGCTCCATGCGTTCTTTGCTCCATTTCTCTGATTTTTGTTTTTCGGTCTCAGACCTTTGCCTCACTTCCCGCGCGCTCCCCCGGCGCAGGTCCTGCTGCGGCACGGCGCCGTGCAGATGCCCCACGCGGGATGGGCAGACGTGGAGCTGTCGGAGCAGGGCAAAGCCGAGGCGCGACGGAAGGCTTTGGCGGGGTGGATCAAAAACGCCCAGCAAACAAGGGACAAAAACGTCCCCTTTTCAAGGGGCAAAAACAAGGTCTGCTAAGTCATGCCTGGTATTCCAGCATACTAAAATGGGTGTGGCTCAACATTAAACAGGGGCACACCGCAGGTTTTGGTCCATGTTTCCACTTACCAGGTTCCATTTTGGTACGGGCGTTTTCTGAGCCACAGCCATGTGATGACCGTGGGTAGAACCACTAAGAATTATGATATTTGCCACTCGTTCAAAGGCTGGGGTTGATCGAAACGTCCGGCAAAGACGTGGCTGTGGGTCAAAAAGAGGTAACCAAAATGGAGCCCCGGTAAATGGAACCAAGGACTAAAACCTGCGGCCTTGTTTTGGTTAATTTTGACCCATACCCATGTGGCTGTGGTTGTCAAAACCCATGGGATACCATTTTCGGGTAGGTGAATTCACCACCCGTTTTAGAACCTATTTTAGTGTGGGAATTGGGTTGCTCAAAGTGTGATATTCTCACTAAATGGGCTGTTCAAAGGCAATCCGCAAGTTCCTTATCTTGGGTTACGAAAGGATTTGGTCCCCTTTGTAGTGGAAAAGGGAGTATGGATTCGGATTGGCCAACCATAGATGTGTCTCCAAATGGGGGGAACCCTAAAAGTGGTTGTTTTCCTTTCGTTTTCCCTTCAAGCCAATCCAAATGGGTGCCCAAGAAGACCCCTTTCCCATATGTAGGGTTGTGGAAAAAAGGAAGCCCAAGTCTTGGGCATTTTGAGACATAGGCTAACATGCTTTGCTGGGCTGGATGTTTTCCACAGACACATAAGAGGTTCGGTCAAAACTACCAGATCGTCTATTCGGGAAAAGTAGGAGCGCAAATTGTCCCATGTTCTCCTGAAGAAGTAAGCAATGTTAAACCGTGGCCCACGTGATATGCAACATGTATGTTTACATATGCTAATCCCCTTCGAAGATGCAGAGTCGATCCTTTAGATGCCTTAGACATAGTGGATTTCCTCAAGGCAGGCCTGAGAGGAATTCCCATTTCTAACATGATCTTACATAAGAGTTTTCAATTAAATTGTTTCGAAGAAGCAACCAGCTTGTCTTTCCTTACTAGATTCTCTTAAAATTCTATGTAACATTATGCTTGGCAAGACACTTCGGTTTACAATCTTATTCAAAATAATAATTCAATTTAGATTCGAATATAAATTTGTATTTGGAAAGAAGTCCGAATGTAAAGGGACAATCACGACGACACACGACAAAACAAAAAGCAAAGCAAAACGCAACAGCACAGCACAAAGCAAGAAGAAATACAACGAAACACGGCAAACCCAAGGACAACACAAAACGCAACAGCACAGCACAAAGCAAAACACCACACGACAAAGCAAAACAAGCCACCACACAAAACAAAACACACCGCCACAGCACAATTAAAGACAACTCACAACGAAACACAACACAACCCAGCACAACACAACACAACACAACAAAACAAAACAAAACAACACCAAGCAAATCAAAGCAAAGAACCAACCAAACAAACAAACAAACAAACAAACAAACAAGCAAACAAACAAGCAAGCAAACAAACAAGCCGTTTGGGCGAACCAGCTCTCGTCGATGGGACAACTCCCCAGCTAAACTTTGGTCAACATTGTCATCCCGCACGTTTCCATCTCGGCTGTCCTCCAATCCTATGGCGGGCCGGTGGATCGTGGATTTGGTCTAAGCTACTCAGCGCCCCCTAGTTGAACCAATGGGTCGGTGCGGAATGGTGCTGAGCGGAGCTGATAGAGCGTGGCGACGGTGTTGATTGTGATCTTACACAGTTTTCGGCTTTCGCTTTGTAGCTGGCTACTCTACCTTCTCACTGTTTTGTTTGCCCATTGCTAGTACCCTCATCCTTTTACTATCCATTTGTTCATTTTGCCAAGTTCTGTTTGCACACAGCTCCATTTTATTCCCCTTGAGACTTGCCCCCTTTTTTTGTGTTCTTTCCGGTGTTTGATGACATTGAATACAAAGCTGCGACCCGACTTGACGACCGCAATTGGTACCCAATTGGTGTCTCTTGGTTTTGCACACTTGTGGGAGGCAATGCCTTTACTTGTCAGCTTGATTGGTCCAGATATTTCTGCCTATTTACGAGCTCACCATGATGAAGCTCCTTTGGGGATCCCTTCTCAATTCTGCTTTTGGAACTATGGTGAAATTTGCTAGACATACTGTGGATGGACGGAATCCTGCACCAAGCTGAACCACACCAAACCTTTGTTTGTTGGTATGTTCTGGGGAATCATCATTCCAGGGTGTCTTAGGCGGGGCGAAATGGGTTTCGTCCATCCACAGTATGGTTTCCAGCTGGCCATTTTCGTCCCAGTGCGCTGCGCCGCTGCGTCGCTGGTGGCGCTTTTTCGTCTCCAGGCGGCGTCGGCCGGGCAGCTGCTGAAGTCCGCGAAGCTGCGCTGCGACATCGCCTTCGCGCCGGGAACTTCTCGTCGGAGGGTTGGGGTGGTCCGGATGGGTTTGAGGTTTGCGGGCAAGGTGAAGAGCACTTGGCTTTTTCGTGCCAAGAAAAACACATGCTTTTTCCACCTTTTTTTTCTTCTTCTCTTAAGTGTGGCAACTCGATTAGAAACCAGTTGATTCAGGTTGATGTATAAGGAAGGTGGGCGGTCTTCAAATGATTTCAAATGACTTTGGAGCCCAGCAATAAAGGCCTATGTCTTGAACATGCTTTCCACAACCCAGCGATGTGTAAAGAGGTACTCCCCTGAGAAAGAACTTGATACCCAAAAAGCAGACCCTAGGTTTTCTTTGTCATACCCAGTTTCCAGTTGGGGGGTTCCCCTCTTCGTTTTTAGGGGAACTCCTCAAAACATGAACTCAGAAAGGGGTGCCCGTGGAACCACCATCCGCTCTGGACATCGCTCAGCGCCGGTTTAGGTCTGTCCTCCGCCCGGGGGCACGGAGTACCGACTCGCTGGGGAAGGGCGACAGACACAGAACTTTGTTGCATTTTGCTTGGATGTTAGGAGTTTAACTTTTTGCCAACTAATGGGTTTTCCATTAAACCACTAAAAGTTAAACTTTTAGCCAGGGAGCAGAAAGCAACCGAGATAAGCAAGCACATTAAAGAAGGAATCAAGCAAGATACTCATGACTTCAAGAACAAAGCCATAAATGAGTCCATGAGCAAGTCAAGACATGAATGAACGCAGCATGGCGGCAGTGGCCCCTCAGTCTTGGGGCCTTAAGGTTTGCGTCTTCGCCAGCCAAGGGTTGCAAAAAGAAACGGGACTGCGAATTTCACAATGAGACAATGAGCGCAGGGGTTTTCTATGTTCGACCCAGCATGAAGGTGGGTGGTGAGAGCTGTAAGCCATAATTCCCGTGATTGGGACATAAGATTGATGATGAAATAGACAAACTCATCGTCACCAGCCTAACCATTCCTTTTCACCGCCTGACTAACCCTTGCTTGGCTGGTGCTTAAGCTCTACAGCGTGCAGCTTCAATCAGACAGGGACTGAACAAAGTGACAACCGCTTTCAAGGCTTGCGGCTTTGAAGCGCACGAGAAAGAACCGGGAGCTGACGAACGAAATCCGGATCAGCTCGGCACCAGCCCACCTTCTTCTTGTGACATGGCGTTGTGTTTTTTGAGGCTACCCTGTTTGGGTTTGGTTCAAAAGCAAAACCAACGGGAAAACCACTTCGTGTTAGTATTATGATTATTTTTTGGGGGTGGGGGGATGGGGGGAAGTCTCCCCTATTCTGGCATGTTCCAAATATACCGTTTGTGCCAAAGGCGGAATATTATAATATCAAACACACTTTTTTTGGTGAGATTTTCTTGGCCTTTTGGAAAATGAACACCGTTCAGAGTGGTCGATTCCTTTTGCAGCCTTCGGACTTTTCTTTTGTTCCAAGAACTGCAGAGAAGCCCGTTGAGTCTCAGAAGGAAGTCCTTGGCATAACGAAACTCCCACGAATCCTACCTTCTGAGGGTCTTCACTATTCAGCCCTATTCTGTGTTCAACCTTTTGTTCAACCCTGGCAATCTTGCTCACCCCGCAAGTTTTGCTAGCTCTACTCTTCTGCCTGCAAGCACTTGTCAAATGCGAAACCGTGAGCCCTGAAAGAGGCTTAGTTCCTGCGTTGGAAGCCCCAAGAGGTGCTGAGCCGAGGCCGGTCCGTGCGAACTGCCTGGACCGCCCTTATGGAGTGCGACCACTACTCACTGCCGGTGGTCAACACCTGGAGGCGAAAAATGGCCGGGCCGACGGCGGTTGAACGGACACCCAAACGGAGGTGACCCAAACGGAGGTGAACAAGGGGTTTCTGGAGATTGGAGTTTGGGCGTTGGGTTCATCAGGTTCTATAGAGCCCGTGGCGGGGTCCCTCGTTCACAGGATTTGTTTAGCAGGTTCGACCGGGTTCAAGCGTTACATCCAATCAACATCGAGCCCAATTGAGGTTCGATCAATCGAGTCTATCTTCGATTTTGGGATGGAAAGACGCACTACATCCGAATTTTCACCGGGAGACCGTGGGCGCAGGCTTTGAGTTGCATATGGATTTGTGGCTTGCTCACCCTTGTTCTTCCAGCCATCATGTTTGAGTCTCTTTGTTTGTGGAGACCCTCCCAAAATGGCTGGGTTCCTTTTGGCTTTCTTAAAAAAAAAGGCACATTCTTGAAGTAACCTGAAATCCATTTGGCACCCATTTGGCGGGTAAGATGCAGACATCCATATCACAAGACATGTTGGAGAGGTCCGGCCCGGCAAGCCCAAGGGACATCGGTGCCCCAAAATGGCACCAATAAAACGGCAACCCCCCCCAAAAAAAATGGCGAACTTGAGGGTTCCCGGCCATGGCCTTTGGGATGCTCAGAGCTTGGGAGGGGTTCATGGCATATCCCAAAGCTCAGCTTGCCGCGAACATCAACGTACCACTGAAAAAGGCAATACCGCTTCACGTCCCAGAGATGGCAGCAGAGTTTTCCAAATCCGAAAGTGTGCGCCGTTTTTCATCCTGGGTGCGTGGACGAGAAATGGATCGCCCGAAGTCTCAAGGGTCCAACTTCAAATGACCCACTTCGACTGTTTCTTTGATTGGGCGTTCTATCTTTTTGGCAGATGTTCAGACTTTTTGGGCGCCCATCTGCAGAATTGAGACATGGTTTCATGTGTATTGCAGAGATGCTTGATTCCGTCGAGAATGGCACTGGGGTAAAGCCCGGGCACTTCTGATTGGCCCACACTTGGAGATCTGTTTTTGCCGACGACGTGGACCAGGGTTTCCCAACGACCAAACAACAAGATCTCAGGGGCGAATTCGGGTGGATGGGTCCTCGTTACCGTCGCTGCTGAGACCTAGGACTGTTGCGGCAGCTGCAATCTTTGGCGTGAAGTCTTGAGGATTGAAGTCAAGCGTGCTATGTCCGTGCGTCAATTCAACACCAACACTTGTCACATTGCCACCTGACATTTCGCTTGACACAGGGGCAGTTGCCGGGAAGGGAGGCATGCATCCACAGAGGGAAACAACCGATATATATATATATATGCATGTATGTAGTATATATATACATGCATGTATGTAGTGTATATATATATACACGCGTGGTTGGTTCAGTCACTATCGGGAAAATTATTGGCATCCACATACTAGGGGGTGACAATGAACGGGGTCGTCACTTCAGGGGTCCCGCAAATTCGGGGTTCCTTCGCACCAAGTGAAGCAGTGGGTTGCCACTTGGTGAAGCGTCAGGCTGAATGAGCGCCACTTTGGGGACATGCAGGGCAAGGAGGGCGCGAGGGGCTAAGAGGGGGAAGGGACGTTTGGGCGCGTCTCGGGTCAAATTTGATGGGTCCAAATTTGGCTGTGGGTCAAAGCCAATGGTACCATTTTGGGGTAGGTGCACCACCCATTTTAGTCTATTTTAGTGGGGATTGGGATGTTCACTGGGGGGTACGGGATTTTGACCCATGGACATTTCAGTCTGTAGCTCATGTAATGGAGGGACGCTCGGAGACTCACCAACTTGCCCAGAAAAAGTTCAGGGAACCAGGCCAATCTTCCCATGTCCTTTAGGGTATCACCCTGGAACATTGATAAATGCTCCGTTTTTGTTTTCCCCCGGCATGTAGAAGCATCTCAATTCACTCAGAACTAAGAATTCAGCTTGTCCCGTATTGTTTGTCGAGATTGGTGGTTTGGGCCTTGAAGCGGTGATTGGTGTGCAGACGAAAAGAAAGCCACCATTTTCGGGGTAGAATTCAGGTGAATGATGTGAGACCCCCTGATATGTGCTTGCCCTCACGTATTCCCGGACTCCATAATGGCTCCCATTCGATATCAGTCTAAGATACATAGCAGGAACACCAGCTCGGGGGTTCCGGGGGAACAAGACGAGTTGATTCCGAGAATGGCGCTTGCATCGGGAGCGTCTCTTTCTTGGATGCCTCCCTTTTCGGGCTTGTTTTCTTGGGAAACCAACGTGAAGTGATCCATGTGGGGAGCGCTCCCCCATGTTGAGACAAGTTCATGTGATGGTCTGTTTCAATAGCGCTCCCCCGCGTTCTGAGACAAGTTTATGATGGTGAACCCCTCTGCTTACCTACTACACGATGGTTTCACATGACATGGCTGCCTTGTTTGCTGTAGTTATACAATTATTTCAACATGGTTTCAGCTAGTAGCCTTCTTTCAAGATACTGGAAGTGGACAAAGGGCTGTTTTGAGAGGATGGTGCAAGCCTTCATGATGTGAGGGCGGGTACAATCTTGATGCTACCATCTCTCCCTTTTGGAGGGGGCACGTTGCCCTGGAGCCGAGGCTGTGCCAGATTCTGCACCTACTCCGGTGCCGACATCAGATTCCAGGCAGAGTGGAGCAGTGGACCACCAGATCCTTGGGCACATGTAAAGCGGGCTTCTTCTACTTTTTCGCGTGGGGAGTTGTCTCAGCTTTTTGGCAAATGAAGCCAGGTGGCTGGTGATTTCAAGACTGAGCTGACCCAGCTCCCACCCCAGCCCACCCCAGGTTCGCAATGGGAAGTCTCTTTGGAGTCGCTTCGCAGCCAAACCCAAAACTGGAGGAGGCCTTTGGGCTTCCTCAACCTTCCCACGTGCGTTTGGGGACGCCCCCATTGCCTCGTTGGACTCGGAGCCAGGCACCCGGCCAACGACGCGCTCTACAGACACGCCCGGAATCCCAGGACTTCTCTGGGCAAGGCCCATGCTTCGGCAAGGCCCTGCCGGAGGAGCAAAGCAAAAAAGCCAAAAAAATCAGAAGCCGCCGATCTGGGCGGTGAATCTGCCAAAGACCCTGACATGGGGAGGCGTCGAAAAGGGGCACCTGAGGACTGGACCAACATGGTTCGCCCAGTTGAGTCAGAGCTTCGATCGAAGACGTTTGTCTTGGGCCGGCCACGAAGACAATGTGAACTTTTTAGCAACTGGAGATCACAAAAGCACGGAGTAATTGTTTTTGTCTTCGTAAATGCTAGGATGGCCCAACAAAAACATGTCTTGGAAGCTTTGGAGTGCTCAGTTCCAGTTAATGTGAGACACTCTTTGATATGACCTCCCCCCAACAGTGCCAACAGTCAAAAGTGTGGCTTGAGGGTGGCAATACTACATGGAGTATTGAGTATTGCCAACTCGTATTCAGTTCTGGTTGTTCCCATTGGACTTTCTCAGCTCTCAGGTTGGCATTTGACCTGGCACCTGGAGAGTTGTCGCTGCCAGCCTTGTGGCCAATACCTGATCGTTCTTTTTTCGTCCGGCTTCAAATCAAATGCTGAAATGCTGACACGCGATTCGCTTGTGTGAGCGGTGTGAGGTATTTGTCGTCAACCTCAGCTTTCTGGATTGGTTTGGATTTGGATTTGGATTTGAACCGGTTCTTGTGGGCTTGGTGGGAAACTGTCCACCACCGATTCGGCTCCCAGCCGCCCTCTTCGACTTTCGGGAAGCTGCTCCGCTCCACTTTCAGGTGGCCAAGGCTACCCTCCCGAGCGGCGAGTCAGTGCAACACGTGGCCGGGGCCCCGGCACGGTTGGGGGCTCGAGCCCCGAGAACCGGGAGTCTTTGCGGTTTGCGGTTTGCGGTTTGGGGTTTCAGATGTCAGTTCTGCACTGCGGATTGCCCGCTGTGCCCAATGGGCCAAGCTCACAGGGCGCAAGGCTTTGGTGCTGCAAGTTGCTGGGAGTTGTGCTTTTTTTGGGACTATCGGAGGATCCTTTTTGAGGATGTCACTTCGGGCCGCTTTGGACCCAGTTCATGGTGGGACGCTTTCAACAGGAACTGGAGAAGGGTCAATACTTCCTCCACCCTTCATAGAGCCTCAACTTAGAGGAAAGCCAAGGGAAGAAATGGGATTGGAGGAGATGTGAGGTTTGGTGAAAATATCCAGTAGTCCATGGTTCATTTGAGAGAGACGTGGGGCGGCTCACTAGATTTCCAGCATGCGGACACGTCTGAATTTCCGAAGAGACCTTGAAGAACGCGGGGACTGGACCCGAGTTTACTACATCCTTTAGGAGTGACGACACAGCAAGGGAGGGGATCATTCCCAATTGCTCCAAACATCGCGTGCTTTGCTTGGAAGACGAACGGGCGCCTGTTGACGAGTAACTCTTTGGTAATTCATGGGAGAGGCTCGCCGATCTAAATCTAACCATTTTATTTTGGCTAAACTAACCTCGCTGTTAATGCTTTGCCTTTCTCTTTCTCATATTTCTCTTTCTTTTTCTCTTCTTTCTCTCTTTTTTTCTCTTCTTGTTCTTTCTGTTCTTTCTCTCTTTGTTTTGTTGTCCATTTCCTTTTTCTCTTTCTCTTTCGCCTCTCGTTCTTCCCGAATCCAGTCTGTCGAGAACAACCATCTATCCATCCATTCATCCATCCATCCATCCATCCATCCATCCATCCATCCATCCATCCATCCATCCATGCCATCCATCCATCCATCCATCCATCCATCCATCCATCCATCCATCCATCCATCCATCCATCCATCCATCCATCCATCCATCCATCCATCCATCCATCCATCCATCCATCCATCCATCCATCCACGTATCTATCTATTTTGTACCAAAACTTTCTATCTCTGTATCCACTGCCTGCCTGCCTGCCTGCCTGCCTATCTGTCTGTCTGTCTGTCTGTCTGTCTGTCTGTCTGTCTGTCTGTCTGTCTGTCTGTCTGCTTTTTTTTGCTTTTTTGATTATATGTATTTATTTATCTCTCTCTCTCTCTCTATCAATCTATCCATCCATCCATCCATCCATCCATCTATCTATCTATCTATCTATGGATTTATGGATTTATGGATCTATCTATCTATCTATCTATCTATCTAACTAGCGCTCTATCTATCTATTCATTTATTTGTGTATTTGTATATCTATCTATCTATCTAATCCAATCTAATCCAATCTAATCCAATCTAATCCAATCTAATCTTATCGAATCTTATCTTATCTATCTATCTATCTATCTATCTATCTATCTATCTATCTATCGTTTTATGGAGTTATGGATGTATCTATCTATCTATCTATCTATCTATCTATGTATCTATCTATCTATCTTTCTATCTAATCTATCTATCTATCAACCTATCTATCTATCAATCCAAACATCTATCTATCTATCTATCTAACTTTCTATTTATTTATTTATCTATCTATCTATCTATCTATCTATCTATCTATCTAATCTATCTATCTATCAACTTATCTATCTATCTATCTATCCATCTGTCTATCTATCTATCTATTTATCTATCTATCTATCTATCTATCGATCTATCTATCTATCTATCTATCTATCCATCTTTCTATCTATCTATCTATCTATTTATCTATCTATCTATCTATCGATCTATCGATCTATCTATCTATCTATCTATCTATCTATCTATCTATCTATCTATCTATCTATCTATCTATCTATCTATCTATCTTATCTGTCTATCTATCTATCCAGCCATCTATCCATCTAGCTATCTATCTATCCTGTCTGTCTGTCTATCTATCTATCTATCCATCTATCCATCTGTATTTTCATCTAATTAATCTAATCCTATCTATCTATCAATCAATCAATCAATCTATCTATCTATGTATGTATGTATCTATTCTATCTATCTGTCTATCTATCTGTCTTATCTTATCTTATCTTATCTTCTGTTATCTATCTATCTATCTATCTACCGTATCTCATCTTATCTTATTTTATCTTATCTTATCTACTCTATCTATCTTATCTTATCTTATCTTATTTTATCTTATCCTATCTATTCTATCTATCTTATTTTATGTTATCTTGTCTTGTCTCGTCTCATCTCATCTTATCTTATCTTATCTTTCTGTCTGTCTGTCTGTCTGTCTGTCTATCTTATCTTCTATCTCATCTAATCTACCCGATGATGCCTCTGGCTTTCCTTCTCACAAGCACTCAACAGGGTCTCCCCCCTACGTCATGCTCCCCTTTCAACTTGTAGACGTGAATGACAGAATCTTGGGAAGATATGTTGCAAGAATAGGAGTTTATATATTTTTGATCCATGAGCGACAGTTAACAGTTTATTGTCATCTATAGTCAGGGGGAATGACAAAGGGTACACTAACCAAGTGCCACCAGGAACTGGAGATTTCCTCAGCAACAGCCAGGTCAGTTTGGGCACACAAGGAATAACGAGTGCGGCTGGTATAAAACCACCCAGCTAGTGCAGATTGTATTGCCAGGGATTTGTCATGATAACTTAGCAGACACATGCATATGCATGTGCTATTGGGAATTTGCCCCCAACCTCCTTGTTGTCAATTCGGGCACGACATTGTTGTTTTGCCAAAAAAGTCCAAAACATCAAATCCTCACTTCTGGCTTTGTGGGTCTTAGCAGTAGGATGGCATACAATGCAGGAGAGAACCGCGTCCACACCCGTGCTTCAGGTGGATCGGGTTCTGTCGCGGGGGTCCCAGCTCGGTTTTTTTTGCCGGTGACACGTCGGCGGATACGGGCACGTCTGCCCTTTCTTTTGCTCGGCATGAAACGCAGGGTGTAAAGCCCACCATTCGGAAGGCACCCCTATGAACACCTGCCTTTGACCCAAACATTTGCCGGACTCCTGGAATTCTCATTGCTTCTTGCTACCCTCTGGAGCTGCGGTTTCACACTGACAGGGATCTCTTTGTTTCCCTGAAAACGCCTTCAAATCATAATTATACAAATTAATTTCCAAGGACAGATTCTAAGATTCCAAAGTAATCCTTGAATCGTTGAACCCGACAAGATCGTCAGGGCACCTGGTCTCACAGAAAGGTGCGACCATTCTCCCACTGTCTATTTGGGAGTCTTGATTTTTTGTGGAGCAAACCTGTCTAAGCGGCTGGAGACTGGTTGCATCGGGGAAAGCTGCCACGGGCCGCGGCTGACGTGTCGGAGTTCAGCGTGCGAAAGACGGCGAAGACGCGGCTCTGAGGCTGCGACGATTTGGACCACGGACTGGGCGTGGCCCGTTGAACAAAAAAAATTCAGGCGGAGGTTAGAGTCATAAACATGTAGGCAGCCATAAGCCCGCACCATACACACACACTGCTGCAGGTTCTGGTCATAAGCATAACCGAGCATACTCAGTCAGTGTAAGTTCTCATTAATTAACACGCACCTCTTGATGGATTAAGGGGGTGTTGCTTTCAGAAGTGAAGGATCCACTGGCGGAGAAGCGTTTTCCTCATGTCATCTCGGAGAGCGCCAGCATGTTGCTCCCTGTGGCGAGAATCCAGCTTGCAATAGCCTTGGATGGGAATCAACCACCCTATCACAGATTTCATGGCGACCATGTTCCGCAAGGTTGGAGAATCCGTGCTGCAATGATGTCCTTGTCTCTGCGAGAACCAGTTCCTGGGAAGCTCCAAACATCTCGGAGAGCCTTGCGGAAACCCCTCCTTACCGAGCTTTTGGTTGCGTGTTGGTCTCGAAAAAGCAAAAAACGGGCTCTCTACATTCCCTTGTGGATTTGTGGATGGTTTCATCATCACCCTTGGCCATTTCAAAGTGCGGTTCCTTTGGTGGATCCCACAAGGTGAAACATAGGAACCCTTTTTCATTGGCCCCAAGAAGCTGTATAGCTGTACCAAAATTTATTCCCGCTCCCTCCACGGGCGGGGGCACATGAGGGAGGGCAGTCAGGGGGGAGCAAAGTCCCAGCAATCCCAGACTCCATGGACTATGGCAACATAGTGATCCCCTACAAATCAGCCAGCATGACAATGCTGCTTGGTGAACGTTAGGGACGATCCCGGCCAGAAATGGGGGCGGCCGCCTTTTCAATTCCTCGCTGGTTTTGGGTAAGACCGATCGGTTTTGATTGTAACTTTAATGGGCCAGGCTTTTGATCAATGTTGCCATGGGTTTGGAACCGTCGACTGAGAACCTTCCGGGATGAAGGGTGAGCGCGTTTAGCCCTGGGATGGACATCAGAAGGTGCTTCTTAATTCGTTGCTCAGTCTCCCGCCCTTTCCCTACCCTTTTGCCGAAGTGACTTTTCTTCTCCACTGTCGGACTTGAAGGGAAACGCGAATGGTCCCATGTAATTTCTCTAGGTTTCAAAAAGAGCATGTTTTCGTCAACAGTGTCTCTTCTCAAAGTCAAAATCCAAAACCTGCAACTTGGCACTTTGAGCGGCACCAACCGCCGGGTGGGGAAATCGAGCACTGGCTCTAAGCTGGAAGCAACACTTTTCCGGTGATTCCAAAGTGGGCCCATCCACCCCTAAAACCTTTTAGGGTTGATGTGGCTTTCTTGAAGCTGCACTGAGGGACCACGCCGCGCATTTGTTTGGCAATTTCCGCCGCGCTGAATGGCTTGAAAGCGAAACCGGGCATCAGTTCAACTCGAGGTTCTACAGCGACAGTGTGGCCCCCTGCGCCGCGAGCCCCAGCCAACAGCTAATTCCATGAGGAAATGGGCTGCAAAAAGCCAAAGTTGTCCAGCAAATACCATTTTTTTTTAAAAAAAAATCATTTTCTCAACCGGGTCGGTTTGAGAGCCCTTCATGTTTTTTGTGTTTGTTTTCACAGGGACCCATTAGGTGGCATGGTGGCCTGAGGTTCCGCGTGTTTGTGGGTGCCTGTTTTGGGGTTGCCTTATGGACCTACAGTAAACAGAGCATACACAGCTTGTGGAGGGCCTCAGACCCATTTTCAGTGGTTGCCCATGTGCAGACGGGTGTTCGGGTGTTTTTGTTATTTTTTGCTTCCCTTTTCAAGTTGCTCTCAAGAGACGCCAAGAGGATAACCATTATTTTGTGGGTCCCCCCTATTCTGACACTTGCACACACACACACACAATCAGGGCCCAGTTGAAGGCAATGTGAAACCCTCAAGAAAGTTTGAGTGGCAGGAATTTGACTTTGGAGACCCAAGAGAATGCTGCCCAGGCTTCAAGAGTCTAAGGAGCCCCCAAACGACCTCATTTCTCGTATGTCGATGTTCCTCGCCGGGTCTTTTGGCAACTCCTGGAGTTCTCTGATTCTACCAGGCAAAAAGACAAATCACTGTTGACCTCGCAGGAGGGTGTTGAATCTTGGAGATTCAAGCATCCAATCTGAATACATCGCCTTGAACCAAGACGAGGTCATGGCTGGCAAGACGGTGCTGGTCTCCGGCCACGGCGCGTCTCTGCATGCCATCTGCCAGCTCCTGGAGGAAGGGGCCTGCTAGCGAAGCGTGTGCCAACCATAGTTTTTTTGTTTTTTCAACTAACGTTTCGGTGAACTGTGGTTTGGGGGTGGTCTTCCTGCACGCCTTCCTTCTTTGCTTTTGGGTCCGGGCGGTTGCCCCCCGTAGATGTTTTTGGGACCGGTAAGCTTTGGGGGTGGTTTTCCTGGAAACCAGGACTTGGAGGGCCTTCGTACGGAACATATAGACGTGGCAAGAAACATGGAGGCGCTGGCGATGGCGAGATTTGATGTGGACGTACCCCACAATCCCATTTTTTCGAGGGTTCCCAAAATTGCTTTTGGGTCCCAACGGTTTTCCCTTGCAATTTGAACATTTCAGCCGCCCTCAAACTTACATCGGGGGTGGTTTTCCTGTACACCGCAATTTGTTGAGGGTTTCGAGGATGTCACTCCTCGTTTTCAGAACTGGGGAGGTTAGAGGCCCCCCCACTTGAGCTATCCGGAGTGGTGTAAAATACTCCTTGCAACTTGGATGTGCGAAATCAGCTGCCCAAAGCACACCCAGCCTTTTGTTTTTCTCTTACATATGTGTTTGGCCCGTTTTTGGCCATGGCAACCATCCCTGGAAGCCTCCGGTTCCATGTTGGTTGATGGGGTACTTTCAGATCGATTTTATCTAGAAGAATTGGTTTGCTTGTCATCTTTTTTTGGATCTGTGCCACCTCTTGCGTGCGAAACAGGTGGAGTGCAGAGGTAAAATTGAGCACTCAGACCTACCTGAGTTTTTGCTGGGCGCCTGTCTGATGGCTCCCCACTTTGCCTGCGCAGGGCGATGCCAAGGCCGGCGTCGGATCTTTTTGTTTTTGTTTTTGTGGAGTTGGGGTCATGGGGTTCACGCCCCTTCCAAAAGGGGATGCCTTCCAAAAGGCATCGCCTTTGGACAGGCTAAATCCTCTTCTCCTATATCCATTATATATATACATATGTAGAGAGAGAGAGAGAGACCATCCTCCTTTTGGTTGCCAACTTTCATATGGGTTTGCCCTGGGCGATTTTTGAGATGTATTGGGCCCATTTTTCATTGCTCTTTGATCAGTGGGTTGCCACACCGAATAAATAGTTGCCAAGGACCCAACCATTTTTTGCCATGAGTATGCCACAACTTTTTGCGATCGACAATTGCTCCCGCAAGCCGTGCAAGGGACAACACTGGAGAGCGATTGATGAATGCGCACGCACATGCCTTAGCCACGAATCTCAACCCGAGTATGCAGGGTTTTCTACGTTCGGGCAAGTTGGAAGGGCCTTTCCCAAGAGCGCCTTTTAGCTTCATTTGGCTGTTTTAGGTGTTGTCAAGTTCACTGCGTCAGAAGCTGTTTTCCCAGTGGGGGACAACATGAGGATGTAAAAGCATCTGAGGCTTGATCAAGGGGTGGAACCTGGCTGAAACAGAGTTCCAGACAAATCCTTGGAGATCTGCTTGAACCGGTCCCAGAAGGGTGTGGAGCGCTGGGCAGAGGAACCCAAACAAGGGCGACCGCCGAAAGCAGTTCCTCTAAATGATGGCTTTTTTCGGTATCCGTTTTTTCCCCCTCTAAATGATGGCTTTTTTCGGAATCCGTTTTTTCCCCCTCTAAATGAATGGCTTTTTTGGGTTTCCGTTGTTTTTTCCTCTAAATGATGGCTTCTTTTTTGGGATTCCTTTTTTCCCTGTGATTAGCCATGGTTCATATCATCATCAGGAACGTCGCGTTAGTGACCGACCTGTGGTGTTTTGGCTCAAGTGTGATTAGCCATGGTTCATATCATCATCAGGAACGTCGCGTTAGTGACCTGTGGTGTTTTGGCTCAAGTTTTGGGTTCCGTCGCGCCTCGAATGGGCGTCGCCGAACCCCTGCGTCGACCGACGGCATCTCGGGGGAGAAAGAGACCTCGGGCCGCCGCCAGGTTGGTAGGGACCAGTCGTGCGGCCTGTTGTCGACCAAGGTTGCGGGTTAACCCTTTTCTTGTTTGGTTTGTTTCCTTTTGGTTGTGGTTCTCTGGTGTGTGGGAAACCCTGATCTTTGGGACCGCGGATTGGTTTCTTTGGGACCGGGGATTGGTTTGCTTTTGGGGAACCTTTCTTTTGTGGCTTGTTTACCCCAACTAACCCATTGCCTGGGTACAGGCTCGTGCCCGAATCACAGGTTATCAGCCGTAGGACTTTCCTACGCGCTTGAGACCATCAACTACAAGCTCTATGTCGACCCCACGATCTCGAAGGAGCGTCGTGGATGAGGAGGCCATCCTAGGGGGCCTCCGCTCAGGTGAGGACCTACCGGACTACGACTACGAGGATTTCGAAGCAGGTTCGGCAGGTCAGGACCGCAGGGGTGAAGATCCCGGTAGGGACACACCCAGGAGCCGTGGCAGGTACACCGACGATGGAGACGACCGCATTTTCCGCCAGGCCACCGATGATGAGCAGACACGAAGGGTTCGCTCCGATAGGAGCGGCTCTGAATCAGGTCATAGGCGCGGACAGTTCGACTTCATCAGCATGGCGATGAACATGGCCCGCCCTTATTCGGACGACCCGGAGGCCATGCCGACCCGACCCCCGAGATCTCTTGTTCCAGGTGAATCCCAGGTCTCGGATGGGTTTGAGGACAGGCCGCAGGGACCAGGGACTATGGTTTTGGCTCCGAGAGGTATCTCGGGTCAATCCACCGATTCTCAAAATCCAGGTCAGTTTGATGAGCACGAGGAGCGGAAATTCTCGGACTTCGGATACGATGCTCTGTTGAAATCAACCGCAGGTTGGGGCAGTAGCTCAAAGCAGGAATCTGATGCCGGGAGGCCCAACCCTAATACTGCCAAATCTGAGTCCTATGATGGCGAAGATTTCAATTTTGCGGATGAGGAGGAGGACCAATCACGCCGAAGTGCTAGGATCCGTGATGCTGCTAGGAGCCGCCAGGGACCTTCGTGTTGACAGGGACGTCCGAAGCGAGAGAGAGAGGGCTAGGGATAGTCGGGAAGTTCTTCGGGGATTGGAGGCCATCCATGACCGTGAGGGACCGATAGGTCCTCCGGCGATTGGTGATACCCCGAATGTTCCCCCTTTTCCCAACATTACCTTTGGAGGTCCGTTGAATCAGAGAGACGTGAACTCGAACCGGGTTACTGGTTCGCCGAGGATCACTGAGCGGGCTGCCGATGTCGTTAGGACAGGTGCCAGAGATGGTCGGCTTGCTGATGCACTCGGGATCGAAGATCGTCCGTCGATCGCCAGCCCGTTAGGGCGAGATACCAGCGATCTTGAAACGCTGAGGTCTAGCAACGAGTTCACACCTCAATGGGGCTCGACCGCCAGGGAACGTAGTGTTTCTGCGAAAAGGCCGTCACCTCTCGCCATTGAGACCGATAGGTCGAAGGCAAGGAGGGCTAGCCCCTCACCAATGGGTTTGGCTCTGCAGGATGAGCAGATGCCCGACCCTGCTGATGTTCACATTCACTCTACTCCTGAGTCTCGTGCATCCAACGTTGATCCCCGATCTGGCGATAGCCGGAGAAGGGGGTCTACCCCGAGTAGACCACCCAGGATTGATGATTGCCCTGTAGGCGACCCTAGAAGACATGCCGGGGCTAGTGGGGCTCCTGAGAGGATCGAGATATCGACCCCTCCCGCCCTCAGATCCCAGTCTTCCGGCGAATCAGGTGACGTCAGGGCAAAGGAGATGTTTGAGTTGCACATCCAGGAGATGCTCGAGAGGGGTGAGGTTTCTGGCTCAGTCGCGAAGGCGTTTCATACTTTTGCGGACCAAATCAGGTTACTGAACGGTCAGGTGAGTTCCTTGCGAAGGGAATGGAGCGACGAGAGCCGACAGACGAAGGACAAGGTCGATCGCCTGGCAGCTGAGGTTGCAACTCAATCTGATGCCGGGAGGATGCGTATGATAGTTCAACGGTTTGCGAGGGAAGTTATTCCCGACAGCAAAGCCATTGTTAGGCAAGCCATCGATGAACAGGCTGAAGTCGTGGAGCAGAGGATCAACCTACTGTCCCACGAGGTTCACGAATCTGTCAAGGACAATGAGGCCTCGACTGATCGGCTTCGTCAGGTGATTCAGGAGAATCGTGAGGCTGTCCACAGGAGCCATGCTGCTTCCGAGGATGAGATCCTTAAGGACTTGGAAAAGCTCGAGAAGCGGATGTTCTCGGTAGAGAAAACCGTCGGGATGAGGACGCAAGCAGGTGAATGGAGTTTGGATCCTATCGCGCAACCGTCCGATAGGGCCAGTAGCAGTGTGGTGAACGCGAATTTCAGGGAGTTGAACCTGAAGCTCGAGAAGGCTCTCCTCGAACACGAGAAGTTTGCTAAGTGGGCCTCCGAATCTATTGGTGGCATAAATGAAGAGCTAATCGGATGTCGAGGCTGCAAAGTGGAAGGGGTTCACAGGCGATCAATAGATCATCAGGGCCCGTATCCCCGCAGGACTGGCATGAAGCAATTGACGAAGTCAATCGAAAGATCCAGGATCTATCTCGTGGAGTTCAACGCCACCATGGGGACCATGACGATGTCCTTGCAAGGTTTGAAACCTTGAAATCCCGTGTTGAGCAGTACGAGGCGAGTTCGGGAATTCTGAATCAAGTTCTTGATGACATCAGAAGACAGATCCGCAGTCTCCCTGCGAATAGTGACCAAGCGCGGTCTGCCGTTAGGCGTGAAATTGACTCATTCCGGAGTACGCTTGAGGGCGCTATGCGGAGAATCAGCACTGTTGAGAGTAACATGCGTACTCTTAATGGAATGAACAACAGGATCATGGCTCAGCTCTATGAAATCGAAGGTCATGTTGATGAAGCTGCTGTCATTATTCAAGGTGCCCAGGACAATCAGGCTAATCCCCCACAGCCTAGAGAGAGACGGAACGTCGGATACGACGCTTTCGCAGGGCAAGGACACAGAATCAGGTCTCCGACGCCCACTCCCGGAGAGGGTAATGGTCGGGGTACTGGCCTTCCGGTGAGACCAGGCGGAGGTGTTGAATTGGTTGATCACGCTTTGCCAGATGTGCCCGGTAGGGTCGATCCTTCTCGTGCAGACAGGCATCCCATTAATCCCGATAGGGAGAGGGCTGATAGCAGGAGCAGGAGGGCTCGGGGGTTGCCTGACAGGTCGCATTCACCGCCAGGACGTGCGAGGGATGGCCCCCGCGCGCGCGCAAGGGGGGACATTTCTGTTTCTCCCGATAGGGATGTGGGTAGGAATAGGAGCCCGAGGCCTGCTGTCGTCCCCGATAGGGGATCTGAGGTCCGGAGTCGGCAATCAAGGGGGGAGAGGCCGATCCGCGATAGCGGGACCATCTCTCCGAGGTTGGACAGGCCGGTCCGCGATAGCGGGAACGTCTCTCCGAATCCAGGCCGTCATCCAGGAGGTGGTAGGGGTAATAGGGCCCATGCCGACATCCAGAGTCCCGGTGATGACTGGACGACTCCTGGGAGTAGAGCTAGTGCCGACGTCCAGAGTCCCGGCGATAGGTGGGGGACTCCTGGAGCTCCGTCTGATCGTGGACAGGCCTCTGCGCCGGCCGCGAGAAGAGCTCCCGGTACCGGTGGTCCAGGTGCGCCAAAGATTTGTGCCCTCGACAATCCCGACGACCGTAGGCGCCCGGACGCTGAGTTCTCGTGTGTTACGTGCAGTCGTGAGTTTTGTGGGCTTTGCCGGGGTGACGACGGGGACTGTTGCAATTGTCAGTTCTTGAAAATGAAGTGTTGGGCATGTCGCAAGAATGCCCAGGAGGTCTCAATATATTTCTGCACCGATTGTGGGAACCACGTTTGTGAGGATCACA